AAAGTGCAGGATGAGTAAATTTGCCGCATGTTTTCCTGTGGAAAACCTCAAAAATCTGCCCTAAAATTAGGAAAATTGACGAGAATCCAGAGAATCCAATCTTTGCTTTTCTCATATTCGGAAAAATTTTCCTGGAAAAAACCTTGAAAACATGAGGGAAATTAATTCAAAACTGAGTTCCTGCACTTTTTGCAATTTATGAGAACTAAACTCAAATTTGGGTCGTTCTCATTCGCCGTGTGGTGCTGACTCAGGACAAAACAAACCTCGAAACAAACTTTGCATGCGGCGAGGGACCGAGGGACAACAATTTACATCGTGATGAACTTTGATTCTAATGTAACGTTTGGTTCTGTTGTAATTGGATGTATTCTGATGCTTTATGCGTGCAACAAATTACATCGTGATGAACTTTTAATCTAATGTAACGTTAGGTTCTGTTGTCATTTGATGTATTCTGATGTTTTATGCGTGCAACAAATTACATCGTGATGAACTTTGATTCTAATGTAACGTTAGGTTATGTTGTCATTGGATGTATTCTGATGCTTTATGCGTGCAACAAATTACATCGTGATGAAGTTTGATTCTAATGTAACGTTAGGTTCTGTTGTCATTGGATGTATTCTGATGTCAAATTTGACATCGTCAAGACGTTTGATTCTGATGTAACGTTTGAGGCTAATGTATTTTTATGTACTTGGACGTCACACTGAAGTCTTAATACATTAAGGGTACAGGAATACACGTTAAAATTTAATGTATTGAAGATGTCTGCTGATGTTTCCTACATTACAATTTCTATTCGGGTTCCACGGTACACAGAACTGGGGGTAAGACAGCTTTTGATCTAAGAGAAGAGGTGACAATACGGGGGCGAAAATGAACCACTTTTCTGTCAAACGTGAACCAGCTCCTGATTGGCCGATTTCATGTCCGTAAGATAGAGATAGAGATAGAGATAGATAAAGATAGAGATAGAAATAAAAGAGGAAGAAGCCAATTGTCACACAGAAATTCAAAACAACCCAAAATTAAGTTCTTTTCACTCATCTCCCATGTTCCGTACGATAAGCCAAATTTGGGTAAACCGGCTCAAAGTAGTTTGCATTCAAGCACGGCAAAAAAAAGTATCCATCGCTAAGTTAAGACGTTTAAATGCATTGCATACATATGGCTTGTACGCCTTTGCACATGTTGCTGCATGGAGAACGAGGTACCCAACACGCTAACTTGAAAGTACCCATTTATAAGTAAAAAAAAGGTCAATTTTGAAGAAAAGTGACTAAACTAGTTTTAGTAGTTTTCTACCCATTAATGAGTAACTGTTATCCATTAATGGGTAACAGATACTCATTAATGGGTAAAAATGGCTAATTTAATGGTAAGTCACTTATCTTTAAAATTTATATTTTTCACCCAATAATGGGTACTTTAAAGTTAGTTAAAAATTGAGTTCACTTTCACTCATCATGTGGCTTGCATGAGGCTAGCTAAAATTAAATAAATTATGAAAACTAAATTTTGAGAAATCCTCATCAATAATCCATTCAGTGAAAACTACCTAACCATCAATTGAATGCAATTGGCGTACACAGCGACTCTGTAGCTCTTCACTCCTATGTTAAAATCCATAAGTAAACTTCAGACTGTGCGTGAAACATGGCGGACTTCGTGATAGTACGAATAGTACCGGTGGAAACTAACGATTTTAAATTGATTCACTACTTGAATTGCCTATTGGTCCCAAGCAAATCGATTAACGTACCCTATTCTTGTCAAAATTCTAGTACTACACTATGTTTGTTTTGATTCTGTATGGAAGTTTGACAGATAAAACGAGGGGTTCGTGGGTTTTCCTATGTTTCGAGGAGTGCATCGATTAGCTTGGGACCGAAGATAGTACCAGAACTGAGCCAAAAAGTTGAGCACATTTTTTCGGGACCTTCTGGTCTAAGAATGGTACTCTATGGTACTATCCTTTCACTTAACTGAAAAATCCCTTAAGAAACTGTCAATAATTTTTAGAGGAGACCATTTTTCGACGGTGCCGTCAACGCCAATAAAGGAGCACGAACAAAGGCGATGAAGCACACAAAAATGACAGTATCAAAGGCAGCGCAGGTTGCTATGATTTTCATCCAAAAATAAGTTAAAATTTCCCAATGGTGAAAACATGACGGTTGAATACTTATGACTTAAAATCGAATTAATTTTAATTTTTTTGTTTTTGAGTTTTTTTTAAACTCAAGTGTTTTTGAGTGTTTTTTCTTACCGTGTTTGTTAATCTATTACCCAAAATTGGGTTAACGATTATTACCGTGTTGAAAGTTTTCCTCCTGTCAGTTGCCAATGTGGTATGTAAAGAGGGATGGCAGATATAATTTGCATTTTCTTTTGATTACCTCTAAGCTTATTGTACATTCAAACTATAGCAGATATAACGATATTTAGGCACTTTTGATATCATATTATATAACGTTATTACGTTATTAATATCAACTATAGTCTGAACGTAGTACAATGTCATGACGTCAGGGTAGGCGTGTAACATGCATGAGAAAGCTAATACTGTTTGCCACACCTTGTATTTGACTAAACGGATGAATTGATTACACGCTTAAATAATAAGGCCACGAATGTTTTTAGTCACCTTTCTCACCGGGAGAGGGTATTACCTGAGTGGTGCGAAGTGAAATTTTCTTCATGTTGGTAGTGTTGAAATAAACGTTTCATCACCGTCGGTTGGTAGAGAGAAGTGTCAAACGGTTTTTTGTGCAGAGCCGATTCGTGACTTTGTGATTGTTTGTTGACATTGTTCATAGCTGAAGTTTTTACGGAGTGGAATAAAATTCAGAATGAAGTGTTTTGCTCACTTTTGCAATTATAAAGATGGACGATATCTATGAAAGTGCTGTCGAAATTCCCTGGGACCTCCAATGGCAACGATTTGACTTCCCTCCAAATCGTGTGAAACTCGAACATGAAAACTCTATAGAACCCCCGTAGAACCTCGCTGGCAGCAACTAACATATCCACTGAAACCTCTTCTGTCGTGGGAAAAATCTGTTGAAATTTCCTGGAACTTTTGTACTATCATCACAAATCTCCTTAGAACGTTCTCCGAAGTCACAATCGTTCCTGAGCGAAAAAAAATCGGAGGGGTTTTTTTCAGCGCAGGAGTCTACTTTGGTCCAAAATACGCAATAATACTGTTATTTTTAATTGTTTGAGTCGTTTCGAATCACGTTTTTAAAAAGATCAAAAACATTACTGAAAAATATTTATTTTTTATTTTGGACGATAACAATACTTCTATCTATTTCAACGAACCACAATGATAAAAAAGTGGTTCGATTTGACAGCTCGAAAGTGGTTCGATTTTGAGGTCCGTCTTCGCACCACTCAGGGTATTACTTATGCGTCTTTTCAGAAATATATGGGAATTCTGGAAGTGAACCATATTGTTAATTTATAATATTTGCTACGGGTCTATACTAAAATCACTCTAACACTAACAAGACCCCGATTTATGGCCTCTACACGTCGTTCCCTTTCCGTAGATACCCGTATTATATGGTATTTGACAGTTTTTCTTGACCCGATGGCCGCCATCTTGGATTCCAAAATGACGTCTGGCAACGATTTCCGGCCTCTACACGTCGTCCCCTTTCCAAAAATATCCATATTGTAGGGTATTTGACAGTTTTTCGTTAACCGATGGCCGCCATCTTGGATTCCAAAATGGCATCTGACATCGATTTCCGGCCTCTACGCGTCATCTCTTTTCCGGTTCCTGTTCTCACATTGCACAGCAACATATTATATGGACAAGCTTTCGAGACATAACATATTAAGGAAGTTCATGTGCACACTAGCGCCGCGTTGTGTGAGAGTTCTGAACTAATATGACCATCATCCGAAAGGACTTAGTCACCTGAACAAATTTGCTGAAAACAGCAACTTTCTATATGGCCAGGCTCTCGAGATACAGTTTATATTGGAAATTCACTTGCACACTAGTGCCGCGTAGTGAGCGTGTTCTGAACTAATATGACCATCATCCGAAAGGACTAGATCACCTGCACAACTTTGCTGAAAACAGCAACTTTCTATATGGCCAGACTCTCGAGATAGTTTAAGAACAATTTTGCTGAAGACTTTCTATATGGCCAGGATCACGAAATATTCTATGTTGGAAATATGATCCATATATTATAGCGCCCGTCATAAATAACATAAAAGTGTAGCGCCTCTTGCGGCGTAGTTCCCAATTTAACCTGAATCCAATGGCACAGGCTTGTTGGTTTAACCCAGTACAGCAACTTTGTCAGTATAGCTTTATGTATTGAAACAATTGAGATAATCCACTACAGCCCCCATTAGTGAAAATCCCATAAACTGTGGGTATCCTTATTCGCGGTTCCTGATTCACGCCCCCGTTACCCCGGCAATAGGGATTCCTGACTGTAATAGGTGACTTCAGGGATGATCAGCAGCTTATAGAATGGTAAGGATAGAGGTTTGTAAAACGATTACATTTGTTTGCGAGTTGGAGTAAATAAAACTATAGTGCTGTACATTATTGCAGTTGACCTATTATAATAATAGGTCAACTGCATAAGCTGAGTTACATTAAATCACTTATACCATTGACAGACATACAAAGCAGTACCGTTGCACTCCTTTAATCGAGTACCTCAAAAGGTACATTTGAGGTACTAGCTTAAAGAAGTACAACAGTGTACTTTGTATGTCTGTACAAGGTATTACCGTATTACGGTATTACCGTTTATGGCGACTAAAAATCACTCATCCTTATTCCCATTTTCGAACGAATCACAAAGCTTCACCATACGAAGCAAAGAAATACCAATTAGTTCGAAAACGGAAACAGCTCAGGACCGTGTTCAGTGGGGAAAAAAATCTCCGTTTGGCGTAGATCCAACGAAGGGAACTGCTTAAGGATATTGTGATATTCAAAATGAAGTAGTCGATACTTTAAGAACACGGTAAGTGTTTTACTAATCTTATCCCTCTATCTGCAGCTACATTATTCGAAGTAAATTACGCATAGGACAAGTAGTTAGTTAATTCAAGAGCAATCATGGTTGATAATCGGTATACACTCTGAAACGCAGCTCTCGACAGTATATTTGAAAAAAGGAAATGTAATTCATGGAAAGCAATCATCCTTAATAACCATCAATATTGTTCCATCAAACTCAAATAAAAAATGCATCCATCCATCAATGGTGACGGGAATCTTAATCTAGATCGTCAGTGGTTTTAGGGCCGCCCCCGGTTGATCCACCGCCGAATCCTGGGAAGCCACCGGGCCCAGCCCCTGGGAATCCACCGGCACCCGGAAATCCACCAGGGAATCCCCCGGCTCCGGCGCCACCCCCGAAACCCGGGAAACCACCTGACTGGGAAGCTTGACCTGCGATCTTCGTAACGAGATTCATTACTTTGGGATTGTTCTGGTACTTGCCAATGTTGCCCGGGTTGGCCATTATGTCCTGCAGGGCTGCTGCCACTTCTGGATCCTTAAAGGCATTTAGAATATCATCCGCACCGGCAGCTCCTCCACCACCGCCAACGCCGCCAAAGAAGTCACCAAAGTCTGCATCTTCGGCACTGCCGCCTCGAGTCTTCTCCTCCGCTGCCTTTCGATTAGCTTCCTGTGCCTTGCGAACGCGCTCTTGTCTATCTAGCAGTTCCTTCTCCTGACGACGACGTTCCAGCTTCAGCTTGTGCTGTTCAATCTTCTTTGCATTCGGCGTGACTTCCTTCAGCCATTCATCGGCTTCCTCGTCATAATCCAGTTTGCAGGCCTGGCGAAGATCCTTTGCAGCCTCTTCCCACTTTCCCAGCAGGCGATTGGCACGTCCACGGAATTTATAAGCTGTAGCAGAATCAGGATTTATCTCCAAAGCACGGTTACAGTCACGAATGCAGGCATTCGGTTTGGACAGTTTCAGATAGGCTTGTCCACGTTTTCCATGATACAAAGCGCTCCGCGGATTCAATTCAATGGCTTCCGTGAACAATTTAACCGATTGCTCATAGTTTTGTTCGGAGTAAGCCTCGGCAGCCTCGGAACGTAACTCATTTGCCTTATCGATATCGTCCTCACTGGGTTCCTTGGAAGCATCTCCCATCGGTTGTTCTGGTTCATTATCCGGCTCGACACAACCCTCCGTATCTAGTTCGATATCCGATTCCGGATCGGAGTCATCCTTCTTCTCCGGTTCCTCCTCCACTTTCGGTTCTTCTGGCTTGGCTTTAGCGCCGCCAAAGTCAGGAGTACCTTCCGGTACCTTACCGCCGAGTTTTTCGACAAAGCTTCTGAAAAACTCCATCTGAGGTAGGTTCAATAGCTGTGGTTGAGCCGAACATAAGTCGACAAAAATCTTCAACTTCTGCAGCTCGGCTGGGTCGATAGGGCACGCCATTGTATTGTCAAATCTGTTACACAAAATTTGATAAATTTCGAACATTTAAAAGACCGGAACCATTTTACATCAACGGTTTCTTACCTGTTTTATCCAGTAGAAGTATGGGAAAGAGGATAAATTTCCACAAATTACAGAAAACACGCAGTATTTTTCTTACACTCTGGTGAGGTGTTGCCGACTAGAATGTTCGCCTTTTTTTCACGTTCTTTTTAGGGATGTCACTCTCAGGCAAAACAAAACTGAAGTGGGCTGTGGTTCCAGTCGGGGGGACCACCAAAGGAATGAAATTAAAACTTAGTAATTTTTTATATCAACACGCTAATAGCGAATTCGTTTTATTCAGTTCCAACCTGAATCAGGTATCAAGATTGGGTCTGCTTGTTTTCTGATAAACGTCAGTTTGATCGTTTGTTTTTAAAACCCAGCTCAGGTTGAGGTTCGCACTGACAAAAAGTTCGGTTTCGCACTGGGTTGGAACTGGTTCCAACCCGAGGGGGGGGGGGGGGGGGGAGGTGGCTGTTAAATACGAACAATCGTCGCCTACCTCGCATAAACAGCGTTTGTTTACGTTTGGAACCGGTTTCATACAAGAATGATCAGTATGCTGATTTGACAGCACGTACCTCCCCCCCCCCGTTCCAACCCCGATAATAAACGAATTTGCTATTGGCGTCTTGCAGTGAAACTTTTCCAAGCTTTCGCCTCCTACATTTCGAAGTGAGAACTACTAGAAGGAGGATATTTTCCAAGTAAAACAGAGGCTTTTTGAGGCAAATCGGTCCATAAAGAAAAACTAATAATTTCCCGTGGAAACTTTTGCTTGAATCGTGTAAGAAAACGTGTTTGAAAACTAATTGCTATTATTTCGGTATGGATCGGAGATGTTTTCATGGAAAATAATGCATAACAAGTTTGCACCCACAGCGAGAGGTTACCTCCTGCGCAGCTACATTTTTCAGAAAATGGTAAAGCCTGGTACGCAGCTGAAAAGTAATGACGTTTTTATGTGTTACCGGATTGGAAGATTGCCGTAAACGCTCGACGTAGATGTCGCCACTGCATGATGATGATAATGTTGACAGACTGCATATAAAATTCGTGAAAATTAGCGTTGAATCATAATTTTCATCAAGCCTGTGTAAAATCCTTCCAATATAACATTCGAATTGAAGAAGAAAACGTTTTTACGATCAGACTGATGTGCATCTTTGACTTTTACAGTTGAACTTTCATTAGATATATTCATTTCATTTCGCGGCTCCATCAAAGCTGCATCGTAAATATGATGTAAACAGAAGTAAATTGCTCAATTACTCAAAATAAAGATGATTTGACATGTTGTTATCACTTTCAAAACCATCCGGCACCATTTAATAGTATGGTGCGTGTTGAGTAAAGCAAGTTCCGTTGCGTTTTCCGTCGAAAATTGTGAGTATCAATATGTTTGCTTAGAAAAGGCCAAAATGAACATTTATTGAATATTGGCGTCCTATACAACCAATTCTCCATTACCACCAGCATGATACAACCTTTCCTAAGTAAATTCACTTAATTTCCACTTTCATCTTAGTGGAAATCGCACATATTCACCATTTTCCGAAAAATGCAGCTGCGCAGGAGGTAACCTCTCGCTGTGGGTGCAAACTTGTTATGCATTATTTTCCATGAAAACATCTCCGATCCATACCGAAACAATAACAATTAGTTTTCAAACACATTTTCTTACACGATTCAAGCAAAAGTTTCCACGGGAAATTATTAGTTTTTCTTTATGGACCGATTTGCCCCAAAAATCGTCTGTTTTACTTTGAAAATTTGGAAACTATCCTCCTTCTAGTAGTTCTCACTTCAAAATGTAGGAGGCGGAAGCTTGGAAAAGTTTCACTGCAAGACGCCAATAGGACACGGAATGCAAAAGAAATTACTTTTCCTCAGCATTTCTTGACCCAGTACGCAGTTCAAAAGAAATCGGTAAAGGAAAGATCGATTACATTAGCATCGTGATCGACATGAAGGTGGCGCATTCTGAATGCAATTTCACTTTCCTTGCGGAATAATGGTCTGATCAATTCAGTGCTAACATTTGAAAACGGCGCAAAAGCCATTTGTAAACAAATGGTTTGTGGGCCCTTTACTCGCTACCCGAAGAACGCCCACGCAAACCAACAGCATCGTCAGGAAGGAGAAAATTTCCCCTACCCGATGTTGCTGTTGTGTCGCGTGGGTGTACTTCAAGTAGTGAGTAAAGGGCCCACAAACCATTTGTTTACAAATGGCTTTTGTGCCGTTTTCAAATGTTAGCACTGAATTATTCCGTTAGGTAATGTTGGCGTTTATTGCAAAACTGATGTTTTGGATGCATTTAAACAACATAAACACTAATAAGTGTTGATTTTACAATTTGACAACATCTCGCTATATCTCAAAATTTAACAGACTATAGCTGTCAAATTTTCTTTTGGGAAAAATCCTCAAAAATTACTTTTCCGTTTTCTTTTCAGCTGCGTACCAGGCTAAAAACGAGGGGCTGTCAACTTGATTTTTTTAGATTCATCTACCTGACTTGAAAACTGGGGGGGGGGGGACGTGCTGTCAAATCAGCCTACTGACGCAACTGATCATTCTTGTATGAAACTGGTTCCAAACGTAAACAAACACTGTAGGTTTCTTATGGCTTGTTTACGTTTGGAACCAGTCATGCGAGGTAGGCGACGATTGTTCGTACTTGAGAGCCACCTCCCCCTTGCTTGAAAAGCTGTATTTTGTATTTTTCCGTACACACAAAGAACAAAAATTGTGGCAATAAAAATAATGCATTTTCAAATTAAAAGTTTCGCAAATTTCGTAGTTTTAACAATAAAAATATTCAAATGAAAAGTTATTGTTTTGTTTTGAAAGTGTTTCGTTTAATTCTCGACTCGTAATTTTAAAAGCGCATTCTCTTAAAATAAAAGTTGATTGACTTTCAAAAATACCTTTTCATAGCGATGTTTTTGGCAGCACTTCCCGGAAAAAAATAACCATACAATTACCATAAAATATTATACATTCACAACAAAATCTATTTCGAACAATCGGTCCTATTGTATGTATAGCATACAAGTAAATTTAAAATATTGTTATTACAATAGATGTACGATACGTACCATATAGTATGAATTTTCAACAATAGAAAAACAATAAAATTAATGATAAATGGCTCAAGTTTGTTACAGAAAAAGAGATTTTTTTCATGGTTAAGATACATAACAACCCCCTTGTCCTATTGTAGATTATCCAATTTACCATAGATCCTATTGTTGAAACAATAAATCCTATGGTTATTTTATCGTTGTGGACAATACGATTTATTGTAAATGCAATAAATTATATTGTATGGTTACAATACATTTCATTGTACCTCTGTGGTTCTTTTTTTTACGGGTTGACCTTCATTTCGCGCTAAATTTGAGTTGACGTCAATGGGATTCTTTAATTTTGAAAAATATATCGTTTTTTATATAGCATCTGAAAGAGCTTCGTTTTCGGAGCACAGTGATATTTTTTTTCGAACCCACACACTTTCATCTCGATTCTTAAATCAAGATTTAAAGCAAAATAATAACTTCACTGTTTGACACTAAACTAATAAACTGACAGCTCGCTCCCATACAAAGTGACACCAAGGGGCGCTAATAAGGTGATTTTTTTCAAATGTAATCGTGCTTATTTAGCAAAAAATACCTTATTAGCGCCCCTCGGTGTCACTTTGTACGGGAGCGAGCTGTCAGTTTGTCAGTTTAGTGTCAAACAGTGAAGTTATTATTTTGCTTTCAATCTTGATTTAAAAATCGAGATGAAAGTGTGTGGGTTCGAAAAACAAAATATCGTTGTGCTCATAAAACGGAGCTTTTTCAGATGATATATAAAAACATTATAATATAAATATATGTGAAAGCTCTGGCCTCTGGAAGTTTTGTTTATATATGTGTAGATTCATTTTTAGAGTCGGTAAAGTAGAAGTCGATTAAGTAGATTATTGTAGAATATTGAACTATGATGTGGAAAGCTATTGATATCACCATATGAGGCACATAGAATCCAAGTGTGTCACAATTCAAATCCATAGTGTTCAGGCATGGTTCATAGCATAAGATTCACACATGAAATGGATGTGTTTCTCAATAAGCGCAAAATTAAGTGTGAGACACATGATGATGACGTGAACTCAAAGAATAAATCACATATCCAATGGTAAATATTCATTAGAATTTCACATAACTTTCATGTGATATCATAATTGGGAATTGCACCACAAAATCACATGAACCTTATGTGTCAAATGAAATTTAAGTTATTTATCATATTGAACTCATGTGATCACATGAATGTAATGTGAAATTCAGATAAATATCATTGGTTTTGTTAATGGAAAAATATTATGTGCATTCCCAATAGAAACTACATGAAAACTTTTTTCCGTGTGTGTATTTTTTTGAGTGTAGGACTGTAATCATTGCCATCGACTGGACCCCTTGATGGTAGAAAATTGGCCTTTTTAAAACGTTGAGCTTGATTTTATCTTGCGAGAAACGTCAAATGTGAGATGAGCAATGTTTTGATCGGTGCAAAGTCGAGTGATTTTCTACTTCGTGAAAAAGTTTTCCAATCGATTTTTCACATCAACAGGAAGGTAACCGTTTTATTAACTTCTAGCGTTCTGGATTCGAGTGCATAGATAGAAAAATGCTTGATTGAGTTGATTTTCCAGGCGTCGCCATTCCGGGATGTCCTTGGTAAGACTGTGCGGCTCGGTTGGAGCCCAGTGGATGCTGCTGCCCAAGACTGGAACTACCGCTAGCAGGGCAATATTGTCGAGAAGTCTATTCTCAGGAATCGGCCAAGGTACGCTACGGATCACTGGGAGCAATGCTCCGGTGCTAATTGTTCGTACCGGTACGGATCGGAACGATCGGCGCAACGGGAATGAGTGGAGGAGAGGCTATAAAAATTTTGGCCACCAGCCAGAACGGGAGCCCCTGGCTACCAAAATTTTCTGCGCGTTCCTGGGTGCGATAATATTGGGGACCTGTATCGATTGGAAGAAGTGAGTACATGCCTGCAAGAAAGAGGGTGATTGGTAAAAGGTCATTATTTGAATAATTATTTTCAATTGCAGACTTGGGAAAGCGATTGGCTTGCCAAGGGTAGATGCCGATGCGGGAGTGAATGTGGAGATGAGTAATTCGAATGCGGAACAAATAGAAAGCGGCGATGATTCCGACGGTGAAGACGAGGACGACCAAGGCAAAAAGAAGCCCCGTAAGGAAAAGATAGGTTTCCGGGATCGCAAGGTAATGGATGATGTTTTCTAATCAGTTATTAATTTCGATGGAAGGTATTCGCTCCGAGGTTCCGTTTTGATTTCAAGTGTACATATGCAATACATTGTTTGATTAGCTTTAAAACGACAGATTTTTTGTTTCCTTTACGATTTTACACCATGCATCCTTTTCATTTTCATCATCGCTTCACGAACTACAAATGATCTACCTGCCCGAACACGTACACACAAATCCACATGCACATGCTGTACAGATAATCGAGTACGAAAATCGCATGCGAACCTTCTCGACGCCGGACAAGATATTTCGCTATTTCGCTACCGTAAAGGTCATACACGGTGACACATCTACGGTCTATATGACACCGTTCGATTTCCTGCGAGCCATCACACCGGGACTGAAACAGCCGGATGGTAAATGTTGCTTCTGTATTCTTTACTTTATTTTTTTTCTGTTCTACTTGACCTACCGTCGGTGATCAAGTTTGCTTCTACTAACAACCAAGGCTAACAACGCTAATGCCGGTGCCCCGTTAGGTTTTAGATGTAGAAGTGCACTAATATCAGCTAATATGTATTGATAACGCTAATATTTAAATCAAGATTTGTTTAGATTTAATGTAAAGATTTTTGATAATAGCGCCATGTCCAACAACAATTCATCTAAAAATAAAAAAAAAGTTTCATTGCTCGCGGAAAAATTAATTTGCTTTATCAGAAGTGCAGTAATATTTAAATAGTGTTATAATCATAATGATTTTAAGAAGGAGGTGTGGAGTTGGAGCGTCGAAGGATTGGTGTTCGTTCACCGCTCACCTAAGAGCAAAACCAAGTTCACATCGTTAGATCGATTTTAAGATCTTGAGGTAGTTAACATGTTTTTTTTTAATTTTTACTTAAATTAACTAAAAACATTTTCTTGTATATTTTTCCCAGTAAAACATTAGTTTTTCTACAACTTTGTCTCAGACGTCATTTCGATCAGAATGTTGTGAAAATGACCGAATTTTAGCAAAGATGTGAACACAATTATGCAAAGTTTCATGCAAATCGGAGAAGGTCGAGTTTTTCCGATTCGTCATTTGGCGTGGAAGTGTACAATTCAAGCTGAACATTGCATTAGGTCCTAAGTAACATTGACAGATTCTCTTTGTATTCCCACGGCCATCTTAAGACATTCCAACACCACTATCAGGTAGTGAAAAAATCCCCTATCTGATGGTAGTGTTAGGATGCGTGGGAGAGCTACCAGTTATGCCAAATTGACACTCATACACATTGTTTACAAAAAGTCTTCGTCTCTTCGAAAAAGTAATCGAGAAATATCTTTATATTTTGACTTGGGACGTTGTGAAGTACAATGAGAAAAATTACTACAAGAAATCACTTTAAATTCTTCTACGGTAAGTGTGCCAGTTTTGGCCCTAGGGCATACATTTAATTTGAAATAGTTTGTCATGCTTTTAATTGCATAGTTAGGGTAAATATCGGCTTCGGCGCCCATTGACTGTTTTCGGAATTTTACCAGCCGATGGCTGAAAGTCTCTTTAATAAAGAAAGATAAAGACGTTTTCGGAATCCGAGATTTAAACGGTATTCCGACGATTACTTAGTCTTTTAGCTTCAATCTGATTAGATGTTTACGACGGGTTGGTGTCAGGCCCTGCGAGCCAGCCGTAAAAAAGCATTGCAACGGAAAATCAGCAACAGAGGAATACGAACCGAGACCAACGGCAACGACCCCAGCGACGAAATAGGATGCGATTGCAAACTCGGCACGCGGAACTGTCGATCTCTCAATTTCATCGAGAGCACCCGAATACTCGCCAATATACTGAAGGACCGCGGATTCGGCATCGTAGCGCTGCAGGAGGTGTGTTGGACAGGATCCATGGTGCGAATGTTTAGAGGTAATCATACCATCTACCAGAGTTGCAGCAACACACGCGAGCTGGGCACAGCTTTCATCGTGATGGGCGAAATGCAGAAGCGCGTGATCGGTTGGTGGCCGATCGACGAAAGAATGTGCAGGTTGAGGATTAAGGGCCGATTCTTCAACATTAGCATAATGAACGTGCACAGCCCTCACTCCGGAAGCACTGATGATGACAAGGACGCATTTTACGCGCAGCTCGACCGCGAGTACGATCGCTGCCCAAGCCACGACGTCCAGATCATCATAGGAGAGGTCAGAGGATGCCAGGAGGAGGAATTCAGACCGACGATTGGAAAGTTCAGCGCCCACCAGCTGACGAACGAGAACGGAATACGACTAATCGATTTCGCCGCCTCCAACAACATGGCCATACGTCAGGACCTATCGTTTCGCTAAAATCGACTCTGACCACTACCTGGTGATGGTCAAACCACAGACAAACAGACATAACACATTGAATATTTCTCACTGTAAAACATCGTCGCTAAAACATTAACGCCATCTGTTGAGTACACTGTGGTGGGTAGGACGCTGAACAGATGGCGGTAGTGTGTAAACGTCAAACGCAAGGGAATTGACTATGCGCGCTACAGTTCTGTTTGTCTGTGGTCAAACTGCGCCCAAAACTTTCCGTCATCAACAATGTACACTCTGAAAAATATTCACGTCCGATTGACGTGAAAACACAGGTGGTTTTCGTCCATCCTATTTTTCACGTAACTTTTACCGGAATTGCACGTAGCCGATCAAAATTCAGCTTCAATTATCTACGTGATTGGTCAGGTAAATAAGATCTGATTTCCACGTACTGCTTACGTGAAATCGGGGTGAAAACTACTGGATATCTGGTAAGTTTTACGTGACATTCCGTTTTGTTTAAAATGCTTTTCATGTAATTTGTACGTGAATTTTTAATGAGAATAATGGGAAGTATATATAGAGGCAGTCCATTATATTCCATTTTTATCGAGAAGATATAAATTTCACATGTTCTAATTAATACTTATTCTACTTATATTGTAATTGTAAAATATTGAATAACTGATAATTATAAGATAGAAACGTGTATGAGTTTTTTTTTATTTCTGACAAAATATTAACACCACATTATTGCACACGCAGAAAAATGAATTTTTGTTTCAGGGCCTAATGTATTTTGTTATTGATTCAAAAATATTGCATCACTATTCCAACATAGCATACAAACTTATATTTTTTTGCCGAGATTGGCACCACCGAGCAGGCTCGGTATTTATTTTTACTGAGATTTCAGCAAAATTTATGTTTGTTAGCCGTTTGTTAACTGAATCTCGGTAAATTTTCTGTTCGGTGGTGCCCATCTCGGCAAAAAATCTGAGTGTGTAGATTTGAATCAACAAACGGATTATCGACTCTACAACCGGTTTGTTGACTCAAAAATATTTTTCGCTGAATTAATTGAATCAATACCAAAAACATATTAGGCAATGAGTCAAAAGCGTATCCATTTGAATTTAAAAATCATTTCTCTGCGTGCAGACTCAAAACGCTGATGCCACCGTCTGAAATTATAAAACTAGAAAAAGGTTACATAGGGTTGACTACCCCATTTCCGGCCTATTAAGCACAAACTGCACTTAATCTTTCTTAATCTAGCGCAGTTTAGCACCAAACGGAATGTTATTATTACTGATGGCTTCCAAATTTATTTACCTTTCCGTACGTACCGTAAGATTTGAAAAAAAGAAACCAATCGTTGAGTTATTTTCAAAAGTCTAACGCTGCTTCTTGACGCCAATCTCGTATTTCACGTAAATCGGACGTGAAGATTTTTTAGAGTGTACGGTACCGACACCCGCCACAGTACAGCCTAGAGCGACTGAAGCAACCGGATGTCGCCTTAGTATACGCGCAGAATCTCGAGGCAGCGGTGCCAGAGGAGGGCGAGCTCGATGTGTCCCCTCTAGAGGACTGCTGGAGTACAGTAAAAGCAGCCATCACCGACGCAGCCCAGAGCACCATCGGGTACGTGGAAAGAAGTCGACGGAATGAATGGTTCGACGAGGAGTGCAGAGCGATTTTGGAGGAGAAGAACGCAGCGCGGAACGGTATAAACAGAAGCGGAAACAGCAGACCCGCATCTTTCGGGAGAAAAATGCCGCCTGGAAGAAGCGGAGTGCGAGGAAATGGAACTGCTGTGCCGTTCCCAAGAAACATGGAAGTTCTACCGGAAGCTCAACGCATCCCGCAACGGCTTCGTGCCGCGAGTCGAAATGTGCAAGGATAAGGACGGGAGCCTCTTGACGGACGGACGTGAGGTGATTGAAAGGTGGAAGCAGCACTTCGACGCGCACCTGAATGGCGAGGAGAACGTGGGCACGGGAGACCAGCGCAATGAAGGAAACGACTACGTCAGTGCAGCAGAGGACGGAACTGACCCAACTCCCACGCTGAGGGAAGTTAGGGATGCCATTCAGCAGCTCAAAAACAACAAAGCAGCTGGTAAGGATGGTATCGCAGCCGAACTCATCAAGATGGGCCCAGAAAAGTTGGCCAACTGCTTGCACCGGATGATGGGAAACAGAACAGCTACCGGAGGAGTGGAAGGAGGGGGTAATCTGCCCCATTCACAAGAAAGGCGACCATTTGGAATCTGAGAACTTCCGAGCGATCACTATTTTGAATGCCGCCTACAAAGTGCTACCCCAGATCATCTTCCGTCGTCTATCACCTAAAATGACCGAGTTCGTGGGAAGTTATCAAGCCGGCTTCATCGACGGCCGATCGACAACGGACCAGATCTTCACCGTACGGCAAATCCTCTAGAAATGCCGTGAATACCAGGTCCCAACGTATAATTTGTTCATCGACTTTAAGGCGGCATACGACAGTATCGACCGCACAGAGCTATGGAAAATCCTGGACGAGAACGGCATTCCTGGGAAGCTGATCAGACTGATCAAAGCAACGATGGACGGTGTGCAAAACTGCGTAAGGGTTTCGGGTGAACTATCCAGCACACACATTTTGCCAGGTTTTTCTTGAAATAAAAAAAATTCGCACTACAACATGCGGCTGACCAGCAGGTTGACACGCAGATCAAATGGAAAGGTAGCCGACAATACTCACACTCACCTGACATTTTTGGAGCGTTGTAAAAACGCTTTCAAAAAGTTTTGGATATTTCTATCGATTGGAATGGATAGAGCATTAAGCAGCAAATAGAAATAAATTGATTCATGGGCATTTTAATTGTATACCTTATTACGTTGTTTTTCCTTTTAATTCTAATACTATTGTATCACTTTCTGTATTCTGATGTTGAAGAGTACCTTTCCAGTCAACTCTTCGGTCCTGACTACGAGGTCTTTCGTTGCGATCGGAATCCTAACAACAGCCGTAAATCTACTGGTGGAGGTGTCCTTGTAGCTGTCCGTGGCGGGTTGGAGGTAAAGGCCATCGAGAACGATTCATGGAACTATGTGGAGCAGGTTTGGACAGCCATCAATCTGGGTGATCGCACACTATTTCTATGCGCTCTGTACATTCCACTAACTAATCGTTAAGTGCCGTTTCGAAGCTATTCGAGTTAGTGATTATGGAACCGTTGCTGTCCCATTGCAAGCAGTATTTGAGTGCTGATCAACATGGGTTTAGTGTCGGTCGCTCTACAACCACCAATCTGCTGTGTCTCACATCGTATATAACCGAAAGCATGTCGGATCAGGTTCAAATGGACGTTATTTATTCAGACCTATCCGCAGCATTCGACAAGTTGAACCATGCTATTGCGATTGCTAAACTCGGTAGGCTCGGTGTATGCGGTAATCTTCTGAGTTAGTTTCGAGCATATCTTATCGGTCGGCAACTAAAGGTTGCCATAGGAGATTGCAGATCAGCTAGCTTCTTCGCCACATCAGGTATAATACCTCAGGGAAGCCACATGGGACCGTTAATTTTTATACTGTACTTCAACGACGTGCATCTGGTCATCGACGCTCCTCGGTTATCATATGCAGATGATCTCAAATGGTTTCTACACGGCGAATGAGAACGACTCAAATTTGAGTTTAGTTCACTCATAATAGCCAAAAGTGCAGGAACTCAGCGATGAGTAAAATTTGTTCCATGGTTTCCTGAGGAAAACCTAAAAAATCTGCCGGAAAATGCGGAAATTGACGAAAATTTTATTCAGTCTCGGAGTAGTACCAATAGACTGAGTGAATCCAATCTTTACTTTTCTCAAATTCGGGAATTTTTCCCTGGAAAATCCTGGAAAAATCTGGGAAAACATGAGGCAAATTAACTCATCGCTGAGTTCCTGCACTTTTGGCGATTATGAGTGAACTAAACTCAAATTTGAGTCGTTCTCATTCGCCGTGTACGAATCTGCTCCATTGCTGACTGTCACTTTCTTCAACGTCAGCTATTCAATAGTTGGTGCAACCTAGGTTAAACAGAATGGTAGTGAACCGAGCCGCCAAATGCTCCGCTATTACGTTCTCACGAAACCAACAACCGATAATATTTAGCTATCACCTGCTTGGTTCGACAATCGAACGCGTGAATCAGATGAAAGACTTAAGTGTGATCTTGGATTCGCAGCTTTCATTCAAGCAACACGTTGCATATGTTGTTGATAAGGCGTCAAGAACTTTAGGGTTCATTTTTAGGATAGCTAAAAACTTCACTGATATCTACTGTCAAAAACTTCTTTATTGTTTGCTTGTTCGATCGACGCTTGAGTATTGTTCTACGGTTTGGAACCCAGAGAATTGAATCTGTTCAACGTCGCTTTCTTCGCTTTTTTCAGTTACGAAAGCCGTTGTCAACTTATCGACCTAGAACTTCTCCGGACTAGAAAAGACACAAGCAGAGCCCTAACCGTGGCCGACATCCTGCAAGGAAGGACAGATTGCGAGGCTATTCTGAGGCAAATTGACCTGAATGTTCAACCCCGATCGCTTCGTAATAACCTTATGCTAAGACAGCCTCTACGTCTGCGTCTACAAATTATGGAGCATACGGTGCGATTTGCGGACTGCACAAAACATTCAACAGAGTTGCATCTGTTTTCGACTTTCATCTCTCCCGTGATGCGCTTCGTCGAAAGTTTTCTTCTGTTTTTCGCCTGCATAATGCTTTTTATGTTATGACCATGCAAACAATAAAACAATAAACTTTCACTTTCACTATCACTTAAAAAAAACTACAACAGATACGTAAATAGTGAAATTGATACAATAGTAGCAGTATTAAAAGGAAAAACAATGTAATAAACTATGTAAATAAACCAACACGTAAAATGTGTGCGTGAGAAAACGCTAATTGATTCACGGATGCTGCTTAGAATGACGAGAATACGTGAATTCGCCTATACGATAAAATATTTATTCTAACATTTGGTAAAGAATATAAAAAAAACGATAGCGCCAAAAACTAGCGCACTTACCCTATTAAAAGAAAATTATACTAAACATTACCCTGTAAATGTGGTGTCGATCAGCATCATCCAATCATTCACCGTTCTTGATGTATAACTTTTATTTGTGTTAATTTAACTTATGTTTATTTCGAAGTACCTCGTGCTAGGAGTTCCGTCATACTTTCACCAACCGAATCCTTGCTTAAACACTGTTTGACCACCCGTTTCTTCTCTGTGCAGATCATCGAGTACGAAAATCGCATCCGCCAATACTCGACGCCGGACAAGGTATTCCGCTACTTTGCCACCATCCAGGCGCCCCAGGGCGAGACGGTCGAGGTGTTCATGACGCCGATCGACTTCCTCACAAGCATGACGCCGGGCATGAAGCAACCAGATGGTATTTGTGGCTACAGTTCGATTCTCCTATTGCTTCTTGTTGGACTTTATTCTCCCTGTTGTTATTCTTGCCGTTCATTGCCTGTTTTCCACTTGTTCGATGTTCCTTGAATTTACCTCTCCGGATGTTGTTTCTTTTATCAATAAGTTTTATCCGTAGAATTTGTAGTAGGATTTAAGTTGTGAAAAGTGGCAGATATTCTGGACGCGTAAAAGATCGTGAAATGTCTGCTACTTTTGGAATAAGTAATTTGTTAATAGTTTGTACTAACATATTAAATGCATTGTTGAAAGTGACAATTCTAATTCCATGCTGCGTTTACCTCCATTATTTCGCCAACAGGTCTTGGATTGGATCAATACAAGCGATACGACGCCAGGGTAAGTTGGTTTCACTACCGTCACTCTGTAAATATCCATTCTAGCCAAATCACTCCTTTCACCATTGATCAGTACACTGTCTTATTTGAAAACTATACTATTTTCGTTCTCATGCACCAGAGTCTCACTGTTCTCTGGAAGCTCCCGTTGCTTTCTTTTCGTATTATACCGTTTACGATTTTTTGAACTTGATTTTTGTCACCACTCGACAGTCACACATCTTTCCAGCAATCCTCTAAGAGCAATTTTTTCCCAATAGCTCACAATTTCACAAAATTTGCATTGTCCTGATAGTTGTAGCATTCCTCCGATTTTGATTCTTTTGTCGATTAGTCTCTTAGTGTCCTTGTTACCTCCTCGCCTTGTTTTCGTTTTTTTTTGCGAATTGGACCGGTTTTTATCATCGCTCACGTTTTTATACTATTTTCTACCAAGTTACCTTTTGATTGTTGGCTTTTGTTTCTTGTTTACCGATTCGTTTCAACACAGTGTAGTTTTCGATTTGGTTGTCATATAAACTAACGTTCAAAAAATACACCTAAATTTGACGTCAACCTAAAACATGCCATAAATGTAACGTTTTCTTCTTTTCAACCTTTCCTTCTTGTTTCATTATTTATAACAAATAAAAATAATGGAAAACTCTAAACCAAACCTATGCTTCTAACACTAAATCAAATTCAAATCACTTGTGTACTTTCAGAGTATTGAAGAGGTATAAAAAACCACACCATAACCACTACATTTTCTACTGTTCTTCTATTCTTCTACCTATTACTAAGTTTTACGGCTACCGATTTAAACTATTTTACTCTTTCTTGCAATCCTATTTGATTGTACCCTTTCTTATAATCGCCTTTAGTCGATCTAATCAGTGCGCATCAAAATCAACCAACATCCAAAAAAAAAAGCAAAGCATTAGTTTTAAATTGTTGGTGTGAAATATTTGTTCATTCGTCTTCCATCTTATAGTTTTTTTTTTTCGTGTCAAAAAATGCACAACACACAACCTAGAATATTTACGCGCTACACAACTGACTGTTCTGGTTTCGGATGTCTGATTGTAAATATCTAATCATTGCACCGCGCTAAAATGCACCGCACAATTTAGACACATCAGACACAAACGATGAAAAACTTAGTTTAATTTTTTACAGCACTGGAAGCACTCTGAAAGCATGCATTTCGAAATATGGCCTACATTTGAAGGCTTTAATATCGGTTTGGATTCTCGACTTTTAGAACGTCATTGTTTCATTTTTCTCCTGAACTATCATCATTTTTCATCTGCATGGCCGAGGCTTTTAGATTCAATTTATCAAGTTTACCATAGTTTCGACAGGCGAGTACAGTACCGTAAACGGGTGGGAAGTTGATAATTTTTCACTTTTTTTTTTAAACTATAAACTCGTTAACGCTTTGAAGTCAAGGGTCTTTGATCGATTTGGAGTTTCGATTGGCACAATCTACGCATAAATCCCGAGTTAAAATTGAATACAAATGTTGGAGGTCTTGGTGTCATGATGTGGGTCCTTCTTTCGTTTAAAAGAAGAACGTCAATAGCAACAATCTGCACCACATTAATCTCTGGACGATAGGTTGATGCAATTCACAGAGGATAATTTCAACTTCCGGAACGGAATAATGCCACAATTCACGTGAGAATGGAGTCAAACACATCATTTTCATTGCAGAATATCCAGCTTTTGAACTGGCCAGCATGTAACACTGATTTGAATTCCATTGAAAATTGTTGGAGGATCCTGAAAAAGCGGGTATCCGAGCAGAAATTGAAAGCAAAATAAAAACATAATTTGATATTTTGATATATAGCAGGTCACTTTTAAGTAACTTGGTCACTATTTTCAAGTCAGTCACTAAAAAGTATTTTTTTTTATCAAGATTCACTAAAGTCACTATTCCTTAAAACTTACTCACTGAAGTCACTCTTGACGTAGGACTATGTCTTTATGTATACCGGGGTGCAAATAAAAAAAAAGGTGTGACGAAATAGTGTTAGGTTTTGAACGCTTGTAACTTTGTCATTTATATATGAAATGAAAATCCAAATACAACAATCGATGGAAAACAACTCTACGAATCTGCTGAAATAAAAACTTTTCCAATTTTCCATAAAAACTTTTGAAAAATGTACAAATGGTAGTCTTATCACTGTTCCCAAACCCAGTCGTCATAATCGAGTACCAATTGGTTGCACATCGTTCTGCTTGAACCTGCGCAACTGTCATGCTTCTGCTTATTTCCGCTTCGGACAGCGTGGCAAGCAGCAAGCAGGAGTGAGTCAGCGATAAAAGGTGGAATTTTTACTTCTTCCGTCGTGCATCACCTTGACAACCAGCGATGGGGTGCAAGGAGGCTCACCTCTTCAACGAGCTCCGACTGGTGTTTTTACATATGTATCACGCTATTTCAAGAACAACATGTGAAAAGGCAGGGTGGCCAGTAAACCAGGAAAACCAGCAAAAACCGGAAAAAAAAGTCGGGAATTTATTTTCACCAGGAAAAACCGGGAAAAAACCAGGAATTTTATAAGTCCACCAGGAAAATAATCTTGTTTGCATAGGTTTTAAAATTTATGTATGTAAAAGTTTCTTTTTATAATCAGGTCAAAACTAACCATTTTGTTCAAATTAAATCTTTCACATAAATAAACATTGATGAACAAAATTTACCCTGAGAATTTAGTAAATATATTTTGTATTTATTTTTAATTTAATTTTTTTCTCGAATCAATTGCATGCAGTGATGTAAATGTTCGCGAAAACTCACTATGACTCGCGAACTTTTCCCTTGGTGAACTTCGTGAAATATCGCGAACTTTTCCAACACTGATTGCATGTATGATTTGTGTTTAATTGATAGCAGACTTAAGCAGTGCGGACGCGTAACTACTTTGAAGTACCTGTTCAATATGTTCAATAAAAAAGTTCTATTTCTAAAAACTTCAGATAAGGCCTCGAACTTCATGCAAGTTCTACAAAATTTGGGAAAGTCTTACAAGTTTCAGGAAAATCCTGTGAACTACTGTGATGACCTACGACGAAATTCAGAGAAGTTCTAAAAATTTCAAAGAAGTTTTACGAACTCCAGGGAAGTCCTTTAATCTTTGGAGAATAGCTACGAATTTTTTCAGAATTTTCTACAGATTTAATGTAACTTCTACGACATTTAGGCATTGCTTAAAACTTAAGGATAATCCTATGACACTTATGGATTTTTTCCGAGCTTCAGAGAAGTCTTCAATACTCTTGGGAAGTCCTCTGAACTTAACATAGTTCTCCAAGCTCAAAAAAGTTCGTAGAACTTCCGAAAAGTCGATTGAACTACAGGTAGTCCTACGAAATTCATGGGAGCTCTCCAAAGTTCAGGGAATTCCCAAGAAATTAAGGAAAGACCTACAAACTTTTCGAAAACCCTTCAATATTTAAAGCCTTATAAACTTCAGGGAAGCTCTTCTAAATTTAGGGTTCTCATATATTCAGTTAAGTCCTTCAAACTTTGAGGAAGTCCTTACGAACTTCCAGGTACTTCTACGAATTTAAAAAAACTCCGAACTTCAAGAAAGTCCTAAGACCTTAAAAAAAGTCCTTCGAACTTCGGGGAAGTCCCATGAAATTCAGGCAATGCAAACTTCAATAAACCCTTCAGGAAAGACCTTAATGCTTCAGGGAAGTTCTACGAACTTTAGGGAGTTTCTATGAACTTCAGCAGTCAGTCTTTTTAATAATGAGAGTTATTAAACCAGCGTTGTTTATGAAATGTTGTAATCAAAATTCCGTTAAATAAGACCCTTAATCGTTGCCAATTTGCGGAAAATTAATTTAAACTGGAAAACCGTTAAATTGTTAGAAGCAAAGGTTTGTTTAAAGAGTCCTCATTCATATCACACTTCGCAAATTCACCTTGAGATAAACTAGCCCGTTGGCTAAAAATCTCAATAATAAAGTTAAAAAAATCGAAGTTTTAAAAACAGAAATCTCAGGATTTAGGGGCTTATAGATCTCTAAATTTCAGACATTAGATAAGGCTCCGTCCGTCGTATCTCAGCTTTGCTTCGTCATACACCCCTTAAATCGCTCATTTTACGGGTTATCGCAAATGTTTCAGTGTCAATCGTAATTAATCTTGTAAGCAAAGATGTTTTTGCAAAAACATGAGTGAAAACGCATAGTTTTAGCACATAGAACGGAAATAGGCGCCATGATACGACGTCTGCATTACATTAAATAAAGATCTGTGCCGGAGATAAAATGAAAAATTATAAGGATGAACATAAAATCAGTCTTCTTCATGGAGTCTAACATGAAAATAACTTTTATTATGCTTTAATTTTGCAGCTAATGATGGCAAGAAATAGATAATCTTCTAGTTCACCACGTGGTTTTCCGTTTCTAAAATCGCCTGTTTGTCATCCAACAAGTTGTTTTAGGGGTTTTTCGCAGCTGCAATTTCAATCAACTTTGAATGCTGTCTGTCTGTCAAGAGAAGCAAATCAAAGAAAATGATTAGCATATCAATTATTTTGTTAAACATTTACAACTGTCTACTGTAGGATGACAGAATTCCCCAATAAGCTTATCTTGGTTGCCGAGCACTTGGTGGTGAAAATCTCGACAATTGGTTTCAATCAGCAATTGGTTTCATTCCATAGCAAAACGATATAGTGGTTCTAAGATTTTCATAAAAATTGGTAGTTTTGGGTCCAGGGATATTTTTTTTTCCTTTGTTTTGTTTTTTCCGTCGATCTTGTTTTCCGTGCTGAGCACCAATGCTACCGACGTGCCAGGAAGGCAGCTCCCACAACTGGACCCTACCTATCGACCCATCAAGTCATGAACCGGGGACCAACGGCTTTACTTCCCATCCGAAGGAAGGCGTGATCAGAGATGTTATGCCTCAGAACATCCCGGCGGCGCCGATTGGGATTGAACCCAGGCCTGTTGAGGTGAGAGGTAATCACGCTTACCACTACACCACCGGCGCCGTTGGGTCCAGGGATGTAAACCGTTGACGTTTTTTACTACACCCGCTTTGTTGTCGTGCGCGACAGTCTGTTTGTATTCGTACTCTCATGCTCTACCGTCGTCTCTCTTAGGCTCTGAACCATTTGGTGGATTATTTTAACTTTTGGTTAAAATTTGACAGATGAAAAGTTATCGATTAACCCTGCTATCCGAGCGTGGTTACTTCTGACAGACAAGAAGTTAAATTTTTACGACCGTGGCTCGAAAACCGGTCGATCGACAGCACGGGGATTTTCGAACATAAGAAATAACTTTCGAAATGTCACTTTTAACCACGAGTTAAATTTAACTCGGTAAATGGTTCACAGCCTTAAACAACACAAACGATAGAACAACATTCGAGCAAAAAGAAAATTTTCAAATAATATGACATGTGGGATTTCGTTCTAATTCCTCAATTTGGTGTAAATTAAACCATTTCTGTTCAGAAATATTATTACTAGGACATTGTTGCTTGCTATTTTCAGAATTCACACAAGCACAACATCAGCAGCTCTTGTTATGAGAAAAACTAAAATACATACATCCGTGACGGTCTTTGACAACAGTGTCGTATGACAGAGCCTATCATATGACATTTTAGTTTGGTACTGTAATTTGATGGCTTGTTTTGCAACTGTCGCAAGCAAAGGCAGTCAAATATCACAGATTTGTGTTTCCAATGTACTTTATAAATCGTTCTGCCGATGCTAAAACAAAAAATTCTGAGATTCATGGCATGATCTCTGAACTAAAATATTTGCCGATTCCGAATTCCTGGGAAGAGCCATAAGCTGTTTCCCGTTTCCCGGAAAACCAAAAATGGCCTGGAAATGGAAACACTTATCTAAACGATCAACTTCCCCTGATTTACGGTACATGCTTCCAATTAAATATAGTAACAACTTTGTTTAATTATAAAATCGATAATTTCTAAAGATTGCTCAATATTAGTGAATACTCAATACTTTTAAGGTTATATGCAAATTTTGAGTAGGATTATCAATGTTCAAATGAAACATTTGAAACAACATAAATAAATCTTTATTTCTGATGAATCTCATTGTTATTTAAAAACCTAAGGAGCTCAAATACATTATATAGGGGAAATGGATGACATGTCGGCCTAAATGCCCTTAATATGGGCCCATTCAGCAATCGACTCAATTTTCAATAGCGACCAAAATATCCATTAGTACCGACCGAATGATGCGTTCATCTAGATAAAATTGATAAATAGCAGATTTTTAGCGATGGGCCCAATCTAAGATCCATAGGCCAACATTAGAGTCATTTCCACTACAACAGTGAAATTACTAACCCACATTTGCTGCAGCGGCGCATATAGGAGGCATCAATCAAGGGTGGGATGTGGATCGTCGCCTACCTTGCATATCTGGTTCCAAACGTAAACAAGCTACAAGAAACCTACATGGTCTGTTTACGTTTAGAATCAATTCCATACAAGAATGATCATTAGGCTGATTTGACAGTACGTCCTCTCCCCAGGCAGCATTTTAATGAAGTCGTGATAGTGTCAGGGATTTGTCAGCCATCATGGTCAGTCCATTTGTAGACTCTGTCCAGTCCAATATGCATCATACTTTTGTACATAGCTTCTTTAACTCATTTATGTAGGTAAACTTTTGACTAACCAGAATAGCTGGATCATTTAAAAATATTATTCAATTCATACACCATAGTCCGCCATTACTTCCTCTGGTAGATCCAGCCTCGAATGCGAAGCATGCGCAGCACAATGCACAGCTTACGAACTTTTTGCTAGAATCTATAGAACAAGCCAAATACTTAGCTGGGCTACCTAGATTTCTCGGATTGAACCCTTTTTTGCTCGAGAAGTAACCAATTTCGTGTTTTTTACTGTTCTATTCTTCAAGTTCTATTACTTCCAGTTTGCCCTTTTCCTGCACAGACAACTAGCTCAAATAAAATATTATTTCCACGATTTAGATTGCTGTTTCCTTTTCACGTTGTTTTTTCCCTCTTCTTCCTCGTTCGCTGTTTCTGTATCTACCTTTAGTGGCTCTTTTAATATTAGTTTCCGCCCCTCCCCCATCTATTTCAACCTCCTTTGTACAAAAACCGATCCGTTTGCCCGTTTGCTGCAACTTAGAATTTGAAGTCTTGCGCCTTCTTCTTCTTTCCTCTATTTTCTTTTTTCTTAATACCCAAATTGCTAAATCGACACTTTGTTCTTGCAAAGTACTCACCGTGGCAACATGTGTTTTCTAATTGATGTTTCGTTTTTTTTTTCTCGTACCCCCGGCCATGTGTTGGGGCGCGTGTGTGTATGTATGTGAATTTGGATCCACGCTGCTATCAAATGGAATATGCGGGGAACGCAGAGCGTGTCAACCCGGCTCGATTTACACCTGGACAAGGACAGCATTTTCTACAAGCTCGGAGCGTACGGACTGATTTCCTTTTCCGATTACATTTTCCTGCTGACGGTGCTATCAAGTGAGTATTTACATTTTTGGGGCAGATATTTCGTGCATTTCCGGTACCTGTTATTCACAGTTTGAGCATTTTTTGCAAAGTTATATTAGTGCTGCTCTACTTAGTGGCTTCTAGAGATATCTGAAATCATTTGCCATAACTAAATAAGACCATACCACACAGTCGCATTCGGGTTATTAGAGATTATTATTTCTTACTTGTACAAAAATAGTCCAAGTCGGCAAATAGTCGATTTTAAAAGCCATTGATTTTCATAATCTTGAATCCAAACTTCGTAATAATTCATCTTCGATTCGATTCTCGGCTCCGTTTCCCAGTCAGGGTTTCAAATATTTTAGAAACGCAACTTCTAGGTAGGCTTTCTAAGCTCTATTGCAGATTCAGCAACCCATTTCAGAATGTCTTGAGAGTCACGCCCTATCCGAGGTTACTTTCACTCACAATAAGCCCAGCGTGATATGCATCACCGTTATCCAAGTGATATTAGTATTACATACACACTTCCGGGTTCGAACATATTATTTTCAAACCTGGCACGTATTTAGTTTAACTTTGATATTTAATTATTGCGTTGTAAAGTTGAACAGAATAATTGGACAGGTATTGTTCCGCTCATCCACCGAAGTTGATTGCTTCTTTTGGAATCCCTTGCAATTTTTTTCTCTAACGCTTCGCATTTCTCGAGTTAGAATCACTGCTAGTCTACCGAAAGTCACCCGTGTTACATGACATTTTGACGTCAGTCGATTATCTTTGTATGATGATCATGAGTTCCTAGTTGCGTCTTATAAAACTGCAATACCAGTGCGGAAAATAGACAGTGTCCATCTCAGGGTAATTTCTTAACGAGCATCTACAGTGCTCCATTTTGCTGCTCTCCTTTCATTTTAACTTTGTTGACTCCATGATATCGGAAAAGATGTAGATATGTACATTATAAGCAATTCTAAGATATAACCACAACGGGATGGCCGTCCAGAAAGGTTCAACGGATGTGAAATGAGGGAACATTTAAACTTAACACTATTTAAAGTATTTCAATGCAACATTCAGTTTTTTGACTAACAATTATCACACTTTTTTATATGTTATCTTAACTAATTTCTGGAAGCATTTACTTGTGTTTTCTACAAATAGTATCAATGTACCGTCATATCGTATCTTCAAGTGATCTTCGCAAGCGCCACATTTCACGCCACCGACTGTTTGGAACTACATGTGGTGAAATATGAAACGCACCTTTTAACGTGAATTGAACATAACAATGACCAGTGTCATCACTAACTCACACATGAAATCTGCCTCGACCAACGCACCCAAACCCTCACTGAATCAAAGGGCTTACCAATCAGGCTAAGGCCTTGTTGTCCTCTGCTGTCCGAAGAAGTCGTCTCCACTCTACTCCATCCATGGTCACAGTTCGCCAGCCTCGTAATCTGCGAAGGGTCCGCAGGTCGCCTTCTACTTGGTCGATTCACCTTTCCCGCTGCGCGCCTCTTCTTCTTGTTCCTGTAGGGTCGCTTTCTAGAACCATTTTCACTGGGTCGTCGTGCAGCATTCTTACGACGTGCCCACCCCACCGTAGTCGCCCAATTTTTGCAATGTGGACGATGGATGGTTCTCCCAGCAGCTGGTGCAATTCGTGGTTCATTCGCCTCCTCCACGTTCCGTCATCCATCTGTACTCCACCGTAGATGGTACGCAACACCTTCCGTTCGAAAACACCAAGGGCGCGTTGGTCCTCCACGAGCGTAGTCCAGGTCTCGTGGCCGTAAAGGACCACCGGTCTAATCAGCGTCTTGTAGACAGTCAACTTCGTGCGGCGGCGAATTTTATTCGACCGGAGCGTCCTCCGGAGTCCAAAGTAGGCACGATTCCCTGCCATAATGCGTCTTTGAATTTCTCTGCTGGTATCATTTTCGGCAGTCACCAGTGAGCCCAAATACACGAACTCATCGACCACCTCGATTTCGTCACCGTCAATCTGAACTCGGGGTGGGAGGCTAACAGTGTCTTCCCTAGAACCTCTTCCTTTCATGTATTTTGTCTTTGATGCGTTGATAGCAAGTCCAATCCGTCTAGCTTCAACCTGATGTACGCTTCCACCATCATCTCAAAGTTCCGTGTCATAATGTCAATGTCATCGGCGAAGCCAAGGAGCTGGATGAACTTCCTGAATATCGCGCCACTCGTGTCTATCCCAGCTCTTCTGATCACATCTTCTAACGCGATGTTGAACAGCAGACACGAAAGTCCATCACCTTGCCGTAACCCCCTTCGAGATTCAAAGGGACTCGAGAGTGTCCCCGATACTCGAACAACGCACATCACATCTGCCATAGCTGATCTCGATCGATTGTGTCGTATGCGGATTTGAAATCGATGAACAAATGATGTGTGGGCACGTTGTATTCGCGGCATTTCTGCAGAACCTGCCGAATCGCGAAAATTTGGTCCGTGGTAGCGCGGGCACCCATGAATCCCTCCTGGTATTGCCCCACAAACTCTCTTGCAAATGGTGACCTTGCTCAGCAGTGTGATCGCGCGGTAGTTGCAGCAATCCAACTTGTCGCCCTTTTTGTAGATTTGGCATACGACACCTTCCATCCACTACTCCGGTAATATCTCCTCCTCCCAAATCCTGGCAATTACCCAGTGCAGCGCTCTAACCAGTGCTTCACCATCGTATTTTAATAGCTCACTTGGTAGTTGACCAGTTGCTTTGTTGTTCTTCAGCCGACCAATCTCCTCCTCAACTTCTTGAAGATCAGGGGCCGGTAGCCTGTCGTCTTCTGCGCGTGCTCCAAGGTCTCTTGCCGTGCCACTTTCGTTTTCGGCTGCATCACCGTTTAGGTGCTCGTCATCGTCATTGTACTGCTTCCACCCCTCAATCACCTCACACTCGTTCGTGAGAAGGTTACCGTCCAAGTCCTTGCAAATATCGGCTTGCGGCACGTAGCCTTTGCGCGAACTATTTAGCTTCTCATAGAACTTCCGTGTGTCGTTTACGCGGTACAGATTATCCATCGTCTCGCGATCTTGGTCTTACTGCTGACGCTTCTTCCTTCGGAAAACCGAGTTTTGTCTGTATCGCTCCACATTCAATCTCGTGCGGTGTTGCAGCATTCTTGCCCGTGCTGCATTCTTCTCCTCTGCTAACAGTTTGCAATCGCCGTCAAACCAGTCATTTCTTCGGTCCAGGATTGCAGTACCTAGTTCCGCTGCAGCGGTACTACATATGGCTGAGCGGATGTCCCTCCAGCCATCTTCAAGAGAAGCTGTGCAAAGCTGCTCTTCCGTGGGTAGTGCAACTTCCAGCTGCTGCGCGTAGTTCTGGGTAACTCCGGCGTCCCGTAGTTGGTCAATGTTAAGTCGCGGCGTTCGACTTCGACGTGTGTTATGCACCATTCAGAGTTTTGAGCGCATGCATACTGCAACTAGGACGTGGTCCGAATCTATGTTCGCACTGCGGTACGTGCGGACGTTGATAATGTCGGAGAAGAATTTCCCGTCGATTAGAACGTGATCGATTTGGTTTTCTGTGTGTTGGTCAGGTGATCTCCAGGTGGCTTTGTGGATATCCTTGCAAAGTTCACGCAACGTTGGCCGTTGTCGTTCGATACGGCATGCAGGCTGTTTGGCCCGATTGCCGGTCTATACATTGCCTCCCGTCCTACCTGAGCGTTCATGTCGCCGATGACGATTTTGACGTCCCGTTGCGAACAGCCGTCGTACACCTGCTCCAGCTGCGCATAGAACACTTCTTTCTCGTCGTCGGGTCTCCCTTCGTGTGGGCAGTGCACGTTGATGATACTGTAGTTGCAGAAACGGCCCTTAATCCTCAACTTGCACATTCTCGCGTTGATCGGCTGCCAACCAATCACGCGTTGGCGCATCTTACCCAGCACTACAAAGCCGGTTCCCAGCTCGTTGGTGGTGCCACAGCTCTGGTAGAAAGTAGCCGCTCGATGCCCGCTTCTCCATACCTTTTGTCCCGTCCAGCAAAGTTCCTGCAGTGCTACGACTTCGAAGTTGCGTGGTTGAAGTTCGTCATAGATTAACCTATCGCAACCCGGGAAGCCGAGCGATTTGCAGTTCCATGTTCCGAGTTTCTAATCGTAGTCCTTATTTCGACGCGTAGGTCTGTGCCGATTGCTCCGATCCGTATTTCTTTCTTCAGTATTTGCAACTTTGTTTTTTTTCCAGGGCGGCTTGTTGGGCCTGCCCCAACCCCCTGTCTCGCCGGGGGACCATCGTGCACAGCTCTGTTTAGAGTCCCACGCTGGCACTAGGACGGTGATCAGCCGCTCCTAACATGGAGAACAGACGCCGTTTTGAGCCGCACCTCCATGATGAACAGACGCTCAGGTTTGGTGAAGCATTTCCTCTATCACAGTACTATGGTTACCGCGCCAGTGTTCGCGTCGCAGCTCTTCACTTTGCTATTGCCGGACTGGCAACATTGCCCAGGCTACGCCACCCAGCTGTGTCCATGTTTCAGCTGGTAGTCTTTTGTTATCATATGACTCGAGGAGGCGTGAAGTAGGAACTTGTGAGGACCAGGGCTAGGTATTCCGCTTCTTCCAGGTTGTCAACCCACCATTTTGTAGCCCAAAACATGTATATCTAGATGATATCAGGTTGTTACATTGCTCGGGTTGTTGGTTATTTTCAAGGTATTTCAGAATTTTGTCCAGGTGTTGCCTCACTGTACATTGGCCAGTATAAAAATTGCATACCCCTGAAAAGTTATCACGCCCAGCCACAACTTTAGCTTTAGCACGATTTTCGATTTTCGTCTTCAATAAAAGGGTAGACATTTCGGATAAAATGACCTCTGGAAAACTTTCTCACTTGAACTGGACTACTGCAAGATGTTTACCACTTGTTTTGTTTTAATGTTTATTGAATCAGTCTGTTTACTTGCTTTCCGCATTTTGCTCGCTGCCCCTCATCTTCTTTTTAAACTCACAGGCTGTTACATGTTTTGTTTTCGATTCGACGCTTCATTCTTCACATTTCCCTTTCTCTTGTTCTTGTTTGCTTCAACTTTCATTTGGTATAGTATGTATGTATGTATCGTGATTAGTTTATCTTAGTGTTCCTACTCTTCTTCTTGCTGGTTTATGTTGTTAAATATATGTTATATGTTGTTTTCGTTATCAGAGGTGGTTATAATATTGGGTTGTGAGAAGGTTTTGTGAAACTAATGCCGGGTTGTGATTTTCGGGGATTTGTGTGTTCTCGTGTGAAACTTAGTTCGTATTTGCTTTGTTTGTTTGACCTAATTTTGTTTAGTTTGTAAATACAAGGTACATAGTTGACAACGACATTTAACAGTACAATTGATTTTGTTTTAACTTTCCGTCCTTCCATTGTATAAGCTTTCTCTTCTAATCAGATGTTCTTCATTTTCGGTGTTTTGTTGTAGGTGTACGGGGAGTGTGAGTAGGTTCGAAACGAATATTTCTTTCTTTTGTTGTAAAATTTTCGTCCGCTATTCGATTTCTCGCGAAATGAAAAGTGTTGTAGTACGTTGGGTCGAAAATTTAGAATTGGTTGTTCGATCGTTATAGATTTTTTTTTGTTTTTAAAAGATTCAAATATCAATATAAAAATAGATGTTTTTCGAAACAGTTTTTGTTTTGTTTTCTTCGTCCTAAACATTCACATAGAATATGGTGAGACTAATTTCCGTGTATAACTAACTCGAGCAGGTCGTTTTCCTTTTAAGTACATATATTTTTTACAACAACTTGATTTGTGATGTTTAATTTTCTTGGTGCTGTGGCCATCGGTACGACATTAAATAGAATTAATTTTGGGGGTCCGCTGGAATTACAGATTTACGGGGGAGTTTGTCATTCAGATTTGTGGTTATTCAGTTCGAATCCGGACAAATCACACACTTTATGAAAAGCCTGAACGAAACGGCTGGTGAAGACGATACAATTTTATAATTACTTTTTGGCACTTTATCCACATCAGATCGATCTCTGCAGTAGTAGCAGTGGAAATGGAAATAAGCATGATGTGAATGCGATATCACAAGAAGCCTGCACTGACGGTCAGACACAAAATAGAGATTGGTGCGTGCGGTGACGCATCTTTCTACCTAGATAGATGTTTAAATAAAAACACAGATGGTTTACGATACAATTGGATTCGCTTGCTCTCCGGGCTGCGGTACTGTGCGTGCGTTTGTGCCTCTTTTCGCATGCCATCATCCCAGTGGGAACTGCACTCTAATTACCTTCCCGCATATAAACTCGGGTTGGGCGGTTGGGCCTTTTGACTCGGATGCAAATTACTGGTGAGACTTATGTATATACGTAAAACATCGATCACATCAAATAAGTGGGTTGGCAATTTATACTGACACTTCTAGATGCTTCTTTACTGGGTGATTTTCCGTTCTTTGTTTTGCTAATCTTTTGTCGCTCGTTGGGAACTAGGTGGGATTAGTCCTTTTGTGTTTGTTTTTGTGTCGGTTTGTGTTTGTTTACTGTGTGCTTCCAAATATTTGTTTTAATTTTTCCACTGACATTTGCTGAAATATTTATATAATAATATTTCATTGTTGTTTGAATTAACATATAATAAGAAACTAACCTACTAAAATAACCGTTAACTTTTCTCGTTTGTTCTGATCCTTCAGCTTATCAAAAATATATGAATATATGTATATGCTACGCTAACGACACTTTGACAATAAACGAACATCGAACAGGGTTTGTTTATATGTTTTGTTTTGTTTTTCTTTAACTATTTTGCTTAGAGTTTACATTGCTATCCTAACCTTTAAGTCTCGTTTTTATGCTCGTGTGTATGTGTGTTCTGGGAATGTGCAACATATTTGTCATTCGCTATACTTTCCTGGAATTGGGCTGGGTATATTTGTAACGAAACACATACTTCTGCTTTCTCCACAACTATTCTATGTTTATCACTGTTATCCGTCGTCTATTGACTCCTGTACGTAGCTGTAGTACTTTGTGCTATTATAGCCGAACAGCTCGAAATCCAGCTGATAGATCTCGAGCACCTCAGTCAGTAGGCGCTCGTCAATCTGGGAGAAGTACCTGTTCGAAAGAGAAGGATCAGTACTAACGTTAGCAACTTTAATTAATCTCATGTCTCACCTCGGTGTAAGATTCCGGGTATTGCTCGCCGCTCGGTTGGTAATCGACCGGAGCCGACTGCGGGGCAATTTATTGAGCAGCAACGTCTCCAACCCCGCCTGCCTAATGATGTACTCACTGTCCCGTTGAAACGTCTCCACTTTGGCAATCAACGTGAAGTTGATACTGCACGGCGTACAGAACGAGTACACCGGACTCCAATGCTCGTCGAAACGGCCACCGCTCTTGTAGTGAGCGACCAAGAACTCCAAGAACTCACGGAACGTTGGTCCCTTCGGGTATTTGTGCTGTACAGAGTTTAATGAATTCGTTATAGAAAATTCATAGCAAAGAGAACCTCACAAAATCTCACCAATGCCGGTTTGCTGCCTTCCTTGAGTTTCTTGCGGAACCGCTTAACGATCTGCTCGCCCAGAAGTTTGTAGTACTTGTTTCGGCAACCCTCCAGCTTGTTCCGGTACGCGGACACCAATCGCTCGAACGGCTCTCGCACTATCAGGAACGAAATCGTATTCGAAAGGTAATCGTTCAGCTCCCCGGTTGATGGTCGTGGGAAGCGTTTCCTCGCCAAATCGATGGGTGAGGATCTCGTTCGCTGGAGAAACCGGATATCGTAACCACCTGTTTCCGGAAGATCGGTTTCATTACAACACTTTCAGTTCGCTCACGCTCAAACTCATTCAACCTACCAAGGATGTTGAAGTAGTACATCCACGTACTGCTGGCGGCCTTGAAGATGTTACACCAAGCCAACCCGTGGCCGGGTGATATGAAAAACTCCCACGCATTCGGTGGGTACTTTCCGATGATCCGATGATCGGCGCAAACATTCCACAGCACCGAACGACGCTCGTTGAAGTCTGCCTCGGCAGCGGCATTCAGTTCTTCCGAGTACTCGTACACCGGGTTCAGCGTCGAGTGGTTCGCTGCACTAGTATCCTTGGAGAACTCGAGCTGTCCCGTCGCCGACAGGTGCTGCTGGTGATGATGTTTGTGGTGGAGGGCACCCTTTCCAGGACGTGCCTGTCGTCCTTCGGTGAATGATTTGTGCTAATTGTTGGGGGGAAGAGAGAGAATGCGTTTCGGGTTTAGATTCTGCTTATTTGGGTTGAATGCTCCTTCACATAAGTAACTAACAGAATAAAATTTTAGAATTTTGGAAATTGGTATTCCTAGAAGACATGTACAAGTCATGACCGTACGTTTATTTTAATTGATCCAAAATCGCAATTAAGCCCCTTAACCCCGTAAGTCCATCATATAAAAATGCGTAGTTAGAAACAAATTCAACCTTTTGGGACTCAAATAAATTCTAAGTCTTAAGCCTTTTTTCAAAAATCAACATTCTGGTTTTAAATATATAGGGTAGAGAACTACTTAAGCCTAATCGCCCATTTTGGGCCTATCGAGCAGACAACTTCAAATAAATCCATGATTTCAGAGTTAACAAGTCAATTATGCGTTTGGTACGATACTTTAGTTAATAAGCTACCGAACGAAGTCAATGAGAACGCGTGATATAAAGGTTTGCACCCATTATTCCCATAAACAAAAGAAGCGCTCCGACCGAATCATTTTTTATCTTCATCCGATAGGCCGAAGTGAATTCATTGGCGTTTCAATCGCGTTGCAATGCGTTAGGCCGAGTTTAGAATCCGTAGGCCGAGTTTGGCGTCAAGAAGCAGTGTTAGACTTTTGACAATATCTCAACGATTGGTTTCTCTTTATCAAATCTTACGGTATGTACGGAAAGGTAAATAAAATTGGAAGCCATCAGTAATAATAACATTCCATTTGGAGCTAAACTGCGCTAGATTAAGAAAGACTAAGTGCGGGCTGTGCTTAATAGGCCGGAAATGGGGTAGTTAACTCTATATAAAAAAATCAAAATACTAAATAGCAAAAAGCTTCAAAATTCCAGACGAAGATAAAAAATCAGGAGATTCTCTGATTTAATCTATTGTCTTGTACGATACATCGTACAATGAGGAGCACTTCCACAATGGGCAAATACTCACATTCTCGCTAAAATTAGGTTATTTTGGATCTTGTTGAATGTTCAAAATGGGGTCTTTGTAATTTTTCAAAAAATTGTAATATGGAAATGGCACTTCTTCAATATTTAAAAAAAAAATGTTTTTAGTAAATAAAAATTTAATTTTAATTAGTATTGAAAAGACAACGTTACTTTGGTGTATTAATGTTTTAATTGATGTCGCTATAATTCTATGGATACGCATGGTAGTCGAGTCGCATAGGAGTATTGAGCGAAACCCCAAAACTTGATAACTTAGAAAACATATAACTGCAAAACGAGAAAAAAAGCACATCGCTGATTTTTTTATATAAATTTTCAAGGAAATATATAGGTATAAAAATATTGCGGCCTCTATCTAAAAATCATGAAAACCATAAAAAAAAACAATTACAATCATAATCATTTTTTAAAAATGTTTGTATATTTTTTTTAAAATAATTTTTATTACCATTCACTAAATCATTTTTGAAAAAAACGATCTTTTTGATCACGCTAACATGGAAATGGTCACCCTAATGACAAAATAAATAAAAAATACTGGTGTAATAGTTTGCGATAAGGAAACTATTGCTATGGAATGGCACCCTATTAGGCAAGTGAACCAGGAAAACCAGGAAAAAGTAGGTAATTTGATTAAGGGGGTATTCCCAATCTTTTGCCTTTTTTCGGCCTGTTTTTCAATTAATTTTTTTTCAAGGAAAATGAATAGTAATGCGCCTAACTCTTTGGGATTATTGTTTATTGAACATTAAAGTTTACAAATAAATTTTTTTCGACACAAAAAAAGACATTATTGACGTCACAAAATGGCGGCAAACAGACCCCTGTTCGCCGCAAACGCCTGGACGGGCGAAGACTTTTCTCTGGAACGGCTTCATCTGAAACAGATTTCGTGATGAAATTAATAATCTGCATAAGATTCTCTGGAGCTTCTCCCGTTGGCAGCAAAAAATCTTGCAAATTAACAAAATGGCGGCCATATGAAAAAACAGGCGATTTTTAGCCCGCTTTTTTGCAGCTTTCAGGTGCTTCAAACAATGTTAAATGTTAATATTTTTGGCTGAAAGTGGGAGAAGCTCCAAAGAATTTAATAAGGAACAAAATGCGCAAAGATTCAAGTCAATATCTCTTATAGTTTCTGAGAAAAATCTTCGCCCGATAAAAAAAATGTGGTTTCGAGAAAAACGCGTTTAAAGTTTTGACTTTAGTTAAAACCATTTGGGGGTTCTTACCATTAGTCAGCTATGCCTGGACACCGAATTCGCTGATCGGAAAACGGCTTGGGGGGATGAAAGTATATAGTCTAAAGTACAAAAAAACGTGAAAAACAAAAATTTGATTTTTTGAAAAAAAAGATCGGGAATACCCCCTTAATCTTGTTTCGATGATTTAAAAAGCTTCTGAATTTCACATAGGTGACATTTACAGAAGTTTTAATAAGACGTATGCCAACGTTTATTTTTATAACCAGGTTAAAACTAATAATTTCGTTCAAGCCAAAACTTCCACACAACGAAACATTTACTGCAAGATGAACATAATTTACCCAAAGAGTTTAGAAGATGTATGCCGTATTTAGCTCTATTTTTATTTTTATTTTTCTCTCGAACCAATTGGATATATTATGAATCGGTGAAGATTCTCGTTGATCGCAGAATCGAGTAAAAATTGACAGCTGAGCATACCGTGGCTGATTGCTGAGTCGTTTTTTTTATAATATCTTTTATTTATAAAGGCTCAATTGCGTTGGCTTTGCGGCGCCGTAATTCAATGTATAATAGCTATATTGCTTATGAATAAAGTTAGTAGAACGGAGACCGAATACACGCGGCTTACTCGAGGTTAAGGATAACAATTTTTTGACAGGTTGGATGTAGACTTGGAATAAGGTACATTAGAAATAAAGAATTGTCATTTTAACCTCTGTCGCCGTCGCATTGGTGAATGAACGTGGGAGAAGCACTGCAGTGTGGACAAGTGCTCTGAATCTCGAAAGGTGAATGGACAATTGATGACAATTTAAACGAAACACAAAAAGGGGCTATGTTGGGAGAACGATGAGAGGACTGACACTTCAATAAAAAATAAATAAAAAAATAAAAAAATAAAAACAAAACTGCTAAAGACTCTTAAATTCTCAAATCGGTCCGTTTTAGAAAATTGTAAATCAACTTCATATATTCGAGATCGCGGCTAGCCAGAACGTCTCTAACGGGTGTAGCAGGTTGCTTTCCTCGGGCATTAAGGGATTCACGCAACTCAGATCTGGCAATTGAGTCGTTTTCAAGTACATTTATTTGTAACACTTGAGCGGTCGCTCAGTAGAGTGAATCAATCATTTTCTTTCTAGATTAAAGCTATTTAAGCTACGATAAAATTAATCCAAATCGGGAGACTCTAAGTTACAAACGATTTCTGCTGAATTTATGTCTAAATCGTTCAGTCTTTTCATGAGTTGATGGGTCGATAGGTAGGGGCCAGGTGTGGGAGCTGCCTCCCTGGCGTCGGTAGCATTGGTGCTCAGCACGGAAAACAAGATCGACGGAAAACAAATCAAAGAAAAAAAGTAAGAGTGCAAGTTGTAAAACCTTTTAATTCTACTTAAGTGCTTTTAGTGATCCGTAAATGCTTCCATTGTGACTTCAATTTATATGTATTTTAAAAGTTAAAAATTGGCCTAACGATGATACTTTAAAGAACTTTTAATCGTCTATACATACATCTGTTAAAATATATTTATACAGAATCCTCCAAATTTAAGGGGGTTCAATATATTGCAGGGGTTTGGTGAGCTTATCTCTCAGAGTACCAAGGGTGAATACTGCTTTTCACAGCACGATGGTCCCGTTGCCGAGAAGTAAGGTTGTTCACAGCATCGAAACGCAATTTGCAGCCTTGGTACTCTGCGAGTTAATAGACCAACGTTGTGTATAAAATATAGAAAAATAATCCGATTTTAAAATCTGTTTTGATTTAAATTTTGCTTAAATAAGATCCTGTTGTTAAACGAACTTCCAATTGACCTGATAGAAGCATACAGGTGTTTTCTTACAGAGTCCTTTTTCATTTCAAACTTAGTAATTTTAAGAACATAAAACTAAATATTCACTAATACTTTGTTTTGGCTTGTGGAATTGAAAAATTTTATGCAATAAAGCATGCTACAAAAAATAGCTTATCATTTATTATAAAAAATACAATTATTTTCTTAAAACACGATTTGTACGGGAAATTTTTGAATAATTGACTGGGAAATCAACCGGATGTAACGACTGGATGCATTCCTTCAAATAACAACTGAAGTGCGGTAAAAAATCGGTAGAACTGTTTCAAACACACAGTTGGTACTTGAGCGGGTCGGTTTTCATCTCTTTTTGCCAGTGGTGGCGGGGGGGGGGTCACCCCTCACCATCCCTCTCTAAAGGGGGAGTTTGGTAAAGAGAGATGAAAAAACCGATTTGTACCTTCCTTAAAAGTTGTCCTAGCTCGCTATTCTAATATCTATATACAATCTTCACACTGCCGTACTCTAACGGAACTATCAACTCTATGCTTTCAACTACTCCATCTATCGTATAAAAATTACCACTACAGTCTGTTATTTGAAATTAGCATCTTCAACTATGTAAATCGTTGACTTCTCGTAGAAGTAATACTAAAAACATATAGTCAAAGTATGAATTTTTTGTTCGGAATCGTTTTGAGCCCAATCCGGTTCACACGAAAGCAAACGAAACTGGATAAATAAAGCTTTAATTTGTAGCCAGTTTCATAAAAATCGGATAACAATGAACCGATAGAAATGGTTTCTGCACTTATTGGCCATCAAATGTCACTTCCGTTGGTTGTGGCGACATTTGTTGGAAATAACACATAAACTGCTTTCCGTTAGTTGATAACAGTGCAGTCAACAATCCTAGAAATCCCTTTCACAGACTACAAAATAGAGTACCTGACATTGCATGTCTGGTACCTCTATATATGCATTTAGATTCACATTCGCAGTCCCTTCTTTTTCGCATAACAAACGACAAACTGGCGCTAAAACGGTACACAGTAAAAATATTGTAAATTTTCATGTGGTACATTGATGTATTTTCTGCCCTTAGTTGAAATATATAGTTATAACACATTGATTGAAGTACTCTATTCTGAAGTCTGTGAGAGGGAAATCACAAATCGTGTGTCATTTATGTAGCGGAAAAGTTGGCTTCGGCAATACCTTAACCTATTATCGTCAGGGGGTAAACAACGTCCTTGAGAGTTCAATTTTGGCATGTGGATACATTGTGTTTCAGAGCAACTATTGGCCAAATTTGAGTGCTCTAGGACTTTGTTTACTCCCACCCCCCTTTGTTTACGATAATAGGTTAAGGTATTGCCGAAGACAACTTTTCCCCTACATGGCATGTTGAGAGAATGAGCTCATGAGAAAGATAATTGTGTGAGAGATAAAGTAACTCACTCTTTTGGTAGTATGGTTGAAAGTAAAGTTTATGGGAATTGACTGTTTTATTCATTTGACAGTAAATTAACAAGGAAATTTCAAAGTAAAAGTTCCAAAGAAGGTAGATATCTCTATGTACTTGGTCACTTGAATTCTTGAAAAACGCTTTTAATTATTGGAAATAATTGATTTTCTCTCTTCTCCTATACTGAATTTCAACGATTCCTACCAAGAAAACAGCGCCATCTATGGGAAATGTCTAGGATGGGATTCACAAAACACAACTAGTTACCTCTAAGTGTCAATGGGCACTGGAGGGTTAAGATCTTTCTAGCCTTAGTTTAGCCTCTGTCTTCAATTTTGGTGGGGATTTCAACCGAACAGCTGTATAATTTTGTTGTTGTTAATAGGTTCTATAATATGCTACTAACATTGACAATTTTTCGAGGTTTTAAAGCAAATCTAAGTCATGGCGTACAAAACCCTCATAAAACCAAAATTGTTACTTAACAAGGGTTCATGTATGAAAGGTATTTTAATGCTATTTGGGGTCTCTCTTTAGCTCTGTCGGAAAATGCAAGATCATGCTGGAGGCGGCTGGGTTCGATTCCCGGCCTGGTCTAGGATTTTTTTTTCTAGTTGGTACATTTCTCGGCTTTCCTGTGCATAGTGATTGTACTTGTCACACAGTAATACTAATGTAAAAATGGTAAAGGCTTAGAAAGCTCTCAATCAATAACTGTGGAAGTGCTAAAAGAACACTAAGTTGAGGCCTCAGTGGGGACGCAATAAACCCAAAGGGATGCTATTTACTTTCCAGTGTTCTTAAAGGGGTGACAAATACCAGAGTAATGGATGCGTAGTACAAGCTTTTCAGTTTTGAAAAATGTTACCACTCAGAAAAAGGTGTACAGCAATGGAGAAGCATAAATTACGGTAGATTAAATCAACTTCGCATATCAGCATATTTTTTTGATTCATCGCATGATTAATTCAATCACATTTAGTGAAGGATGAGGATACTTGTCCTGGAGGAGCAGAATTAATCAGATTTAATCTTATAGAAATAAATTCAGTTCGACAAGCATTAAGATTTGAACGGAATTGATTTGCACTATTTTACGATTGTGCTTATTAAACATCCTGCGATAAATTTTCTCTTATTTTGACTTTATCTGAAGAAATTATTGGTTGCTATACAACTTTTGGTCAAAAATCTAGAATGCATCAAAGTTGTTTCTGTGATACATGCAATCGAAATTCAATTGAGAATAATTGACAACCAGCATCGATCCATTATTTTAAGGATCATATACGAATGAAAGATTTCGATCTGCATAGTCAATTGACATAAACATGGATCAATAGGATGAGTAAAATTTGATGGCGAATTGTGGTGGTCCCCAACAGCTGTGCGATTTGAATTTGTGGCAGAAATTTACTGTTAGTATGGGAAGAAAATATTGATTTAAAGACAAAGAATTCACAAATAGCTCAATATCACCCAAATATGCAATTTTGTAGAACAACTATACTTAAATCATGATTCAGTTTAAACTGCAAATAATAAAAAAAAAATCATCTCTAATTCGATTTAACTCATCTGAGCATTAGATAAAACCAAAATCAACTTACCGCTTCATTCTTCCCGCCGCCAGACTTGATTCGGTTGGTGGAGAATGCCGTCATCGATTCCCGCAGCAGCAGCACAAAGTACAGCCCAAACACCACGAACAACAGCATCACCTTGAGGCAGAGGTAGAATCGCCTCCGGTTGAGCTTGATCGGCATCAGATTCATCTTACGTTTCTTCTGCTGGTGGCTCTGAAGCTGCTGTTGATACTTTGCCTGCTGACCGTGACAGTGACTGGTCATACTGAATTCTGCTGTTGGAAAAATGGCTCCCAATAAATCCGGTTCTGACAACACACATTTTATTCTGCTGTTGACGGTGCCGCACTCCAGCACCGCCTACCGGAGCGGCGTTCTCGTTCTCCTTTTTTGCGTACGATCCGATGGAGACGGATGGTGCCTTTGTTCCAGAGGGGGGGAAAGTCAAGTTTCCACACACTTTTCACATTCTCTTATCGCGCCATTCCGCTACAGATCGATGATTACGATGGCGACGGCTGGAATGCTGACTTTATAACTTTGCACAAAAGCACCGACACGACGTTGACTTCGGACGACGATTAATGATGATTCATTGAGAAAATCGATTATCACTTGTTACAGCCATTCTCCCGCTTGAATCGAATTCCGGTCCAGGAAATGGAACAAAATAAAGCAACTCTCGACGCTCTGACGGTGCGGTTTCCGTGCCAGAACCATTCACAAACTGTACGCTACTTTGCATAAACTACCCCCCAAATTCCTGTCAGCACTCACGAAAAATCACAATATTTCAGAAAACCCATTTCCATTTTGTCGGAACACGATTTCGCTTCTTGCTAGCAATTAACCAAGTGCTATCAGTGATTTTCCCGTTCTCCCACACCACCGACGAACGGGGAAAAACAGGATGTTTCTTTGTTTCACTACACTACTGCCGAGCTTCGTGCCAGGCTAGATGAGTCAACTTTTGACATTTGAACTTGCTCCCTTCAACACCATTCATGAACTGTACATCTTCAATTCCGAAAAAGGAAAAAAAAAAAATGACTCCTCGATGGTTTCTGCCGAACTGGTTCCCTCCTAACCCAAACTGTAGCTTGGAATGATGGAAAATAAGCGCATATAAACTGCTGCTGTTGCACTCACTACTCAGAACCCTCCAGGTTCTCCAGGTTTGTATCAGTGACGACGCTGATGGAGAAAAATCCTCGGGTTTAAAAATAGCTCACAAAAGGATGATGATAGAACCACAAAAAATAATAATAACACCAACATAGGCAGTGGGCTCGTAAGGAACAAGGAGATGTGCTTTCCTGCCTTGCCACACACCACACACCTACGACGAAGACGGCGTCCTTGATGGTGCTTTGCTTTGGGCTTGGTCTGTAGGACCACACACCGATTTGAAGGAAACTAAACTTGAAAAATTTTCCTGACGGGAAAAGCGTTGGGGTACACCTTGTTGAATGCAATCGTGAAAATGGAATAAAGTCCTTTTCTATCCTTGCTTTTCACTTGCCTTCCTCTGTGCATATATGTAGGATAACGTGCATGTGTATCAAACACGTTCAGCGTCGGAGAAAAACAGGCATGAGCTCAGCAGCGAGGGGCTTGTGCTCTCGCGGATAGGCTATGGGATTGGACGACTGGGGGGTGGTTGACTTGGCATATCGCACTATCAGGGGGAGCCTTTTGGCTTGGTTTGGCTTTGCTTTTTGCGAGCGAACGTTGTGTGTTACGAAAATGTGTGATAAAACAGTAGGACAAGATGACATTCTCTCTCTGGCGAGTGTCATTTCCACTCTCGCTCTCTCTCTCTCTCAAACTCGCTCTCGCCGTCCCTGTTGGATGGGAGAAAGTGTCAAACAAGGATGCCGTCACCAAGACATGCGTGCTGTGATAGAGATTGCACTAGATTTTGCACAGTGAGCGGGATGTAGAATTTACTTGCTAAAATTTTTACAGCCATGATTTTTTTACTATGTGAGCTATTTATATCACGTAACCTCGAAGAGAGATCTACAGAAAGGTGTTTCCTTGCAGAGTCCTTTTTGTTATCACACTAATAGAGAATTTGTTTATTATTCAGTTACAACCTGGATCGGGAATCAAGAACGGGTCTGCTTGTTTTCTGACAAACGTCAGTTTGATCGTATGTTTTTAAAACCTACCTCAGGTTGAGGTTCGCATTGACAAAAAGATCGGTTTTGCACTGTATATTGTATATAAACAGTTCCAGGAATTCCACGTGTTTAATAAGGGCTCTTTTACAGTTTATTCAAATGTAAAACTGAAGCACTAGTCTCGTTCTGCCCCCTTAAAAATTGCTTCCACGCTCTTTTTGCCCACAGTGTGAGTTATTCAAAAATATTGAAAGATGCATTTTTTGCTAGGGTACATGATGATTTCGGCACCCATGTACTGTTTTCGTCAAACAAAATTTAAACATTAATTTTACTATATTTTCTCACAAAAACACTTCACTGAATGTATTGAACCGATTTCTTAGTCATATTCAGCTTCAAGCTGATCAAACCTGTTATGCCAGGTTTTCCTTTAAACTAAAACTACAAGGGACAGCCCTATAGTGACGTAGGACTACGTAGTCTTATATAATAAATATTATTTTTTTAACTGCAACAGGAGCTTGTGTTTTGTGTAGGACTAGGAATTTGAGCGGGGCTATCTCTGTTTACACCCTTTAGTATGACTATGATTTCCCTGAACAGAACCTTTTGATATGAATTTTAGTTGGGACATGTTCAGAAATTCAACTCTTTAGGAAAATATTGGTGGCGCTGAAAAGGGCCGATGGTAGTACAGGCTTAAAGTCTTTAGAAGATGATGATGACGCGTAGGCAAATCGGACCGAACAATCCCATATTGTTCGGTGCAATGATTCGGCACTCGCAAGAGTCTCGGCCCGTCTGCTGCTGGACAGGGGTGGAACTGGTGTCTGCGACAGGTTGGAAGGCCGCAGAATATCAGTGTCCACTAGACTGATGCAAAATTTGACTTTTTCGCTCCACAGTGCTTAAATGGTTTCACATCGGGTCCTGATTAGGCTCCCAAAGTTACAACTTATTTGGTTAGAAACAGACTTCGCACAAGCCATTTGAAGTTTACATGTAAATTACTATGGGAAATCTCAACTTTTTGTTCATTGCCTTCTAGTCTTTTTCCATATTGAGCTGCAAAACAGTTCGATAACCATTCTTATAGAAAATTTTCTCAGCTACAACTTTGCTGAAAATCGTTTTTTATGTAAAACGAGACAGGAAAAAGTTATTAATTATTTAAGAGACTGGTAAACTTATGATATGATCAAGCAGCTGCTCTGTAGGCAACACTGTATTTTGCAGTGTGACATAGTAGCCATGATTTTTGTGTCCTATTCAACGCCCCAGAAACACCAATGTTGCCTGCTGAGCAGTTGATTGAGCATGATCATAAGACATCAGCGCATTGAACCATTGATGACTTTCGATCCTTGCATTTAATCAAAAAGTAGTTTTCAGCAAAGTTGTAGCTGGGAAAATTTCCTATAAGTAAAGTTGAAAGCTTTTGAAGCAGACCGATACGGTGAATTATTAGATTGACATGAACAAAAATCTTGGTTTTACCATAGTAATTCCCATACAAACTACAAATGGTTTGTGCCATCTCAGTTTCTCACCAAATGGGTTCAAATTTTGAGAGGTTAGTCAGGAGCCGATTTGGAATCGTTTAAGTATTGTGGAGCGAAAATTTCAAATTTTGTATCGCTCTAGTGTCCACCCAGCTAAAGCTCCTCCCCTTTTAAGTTTTTCTCGTTAAACTCTTTCTCTCAAAAAGTTGGTGTAAATTTTAGCCTTTAGCAGAAAGATGCTTAACAATTTTTTTGGCGAATTTATGATCCTGTTTCACGTCATGGTTCTTCTCTATGTCTGTTCAGATAAATTAGTACTTTTGTTTATTTTCTCTACTGCGCTAAATCAAACGAGTAGAAATAAGAAGGGATGTCGTTTACGCGCTCTAATAATTGAAAATTCGATAAATATTTAATCGAATAGCTGGAAAAATCTTTACGATTAATCGTTAATCGAATAATTGGACTTTTAGGCATCCCTAGAAAATAGTGTAATTTCACGTTTTTTTGGTGGTCTTTCGAAAATGTCGAACAGCAGAATTGCAACCAGCAAATGTAACCCAAGAACCAAAAGCGGTGCAGGGGTTTAGAAGCAGAGGGGTGAAGGTGAATTCTCTTCATCGAATTCCTCTTTTGATGACCATGGCTTCACTAACCTATTTCGCACTATTTCTGCTATGCTCTCTCATCCAGAACAACAAACGTATCAATGAATGTGTTTGCCGTCGAGTTATTAACAAAACATACAGTCGATGAAGAGAATCGATCAATATCACTTGCACCCCGCTTCCAAGTTTGGTTACAAGATTACAACTCTGGAGAGCATTTGTGGTTCTGAATATGGTGATGAGTGTGCAAAATGTTACACAATTGCATCCTCCTTATTCGCACACGCCCGAAGATCGGAGGCGAATGCCACATCGACTTGTTTCGTCTACTAACGACTTTCTGATGACACTGTTGGGGAAGCAGCAATGCTACATCGACATGTTTCGTATAGAAACGATTCTCTGATGACTGTGTTGGGGAAGCAGCATATGCATGTACGTAATTGGTGGATTTATTTGTTATTTCGACGCTTTTGGAAAATGCTTGATATTTACCACTTTTTCAATAGTTTCAGTCGGAAGCATTTCTACCGATGCGTAGAAATATTTCTGATCGATTGGTGATAAAATTATTCAAATTTGTCCAAGGGCAGCTGAGTTATTAACGTTCAAAATCTTTCATAATTTCGTCACATGTTCCATTTTCGGTTTTCTCAAAGTGTACCCCCATATAATTTATTTTCATTTATATTATAAAATTCAATTAGGCATTATTTTACATCTTCATAACTTTTAAAGATGCTGAAAGTGGTTAAGATTGGTAGATTTTGACCTTTTATCACCCATAGCAATCAAATTTATTAGAAATAATGTACACTCCAGTCTTTTTATCTTACACGGTTTTTTTTATGTCGTCTGCGCCGCTCAGTCGCAATTTACAGGGTATGTTTCAACAATTTCTCGAAAACAATACAACTTATCGAACTAATTCTAATCATATTATTCGTTTTAAATCATAGGTAATCAAATAGCATTATGTATGTACAAAATCACAATTTTTGGTGTAAACACAGATTTTTTTAAAAATTTGTGTATGGACCCTAGCACTCTAATATTAAGGGTGACATAAAAGTATAAACGTTTCAAAATATTAAAGTATGTGAAAAATCAAAATAATTTTTTAAACGGTACATAACCCCCGTTAAAAAAACGGAGTGTATTCGAAAACGTTTTAAAACTTCCCGCTCATACCTCACCGTGCACATTATTCGAGCAGTTAAAAATGACGTTTCTCACCATTCGAACATTGCTGAGTACCATTATTTTGAGAATTTCTAATAAATATTTATTTTCTTGGAGGTATTGGTAGAAAATTGTCCAAAAGCTGCTGAACAAAAGTGATTAATGTTCAAAATTTGCATCATTATGAAAGTCAGCACCGTACTCAGATCATCTTGAACTTAGTTCCCAAAATTTCCAAATCAAACCCTGCACTTTTAAGAAGTATGCTGAATTTCTACAGTACACCCTGAGCTTCTGCAAAATTTGCTGAACTTCTGCGAAGCTCACTGCTTCTAAAATTTTGGCTAATCTCGAGCAAACTTCCTTGAACCAAAAAAAAAAAAAAATTGCAGTTTTATGAAGTTTTACGAAGATCCTCGAATTACTTCGTAATTTTCTTTGCTTCTCAGAATTCCTATGAAATTTGCTGCACTCCTATAAACTTTCCTAAGCTTTTTAGAAGTTCGTTAAATTTCTGCGAAGTTTCCTGAATTTCTACGGAATTTCCTGGTCTATTTTAAGTCTTAAGTTATTTTATGTTTTAAGAAGTGCCGTGAAGCTAAAAGAAATTTTATAGTACCCATAACTACAACGAAGTTTCAAAAACCTGTATAAGGTTCCCAGATCTACATAGTTTTCCCGATTTTTTACAAAGCACCGTAAATTTCTTCGAAATTCTCTTAAGTTCTACTAAAATCCCTGAATTTATATAAATATTCCTTAATTTCATCACATCAATTATATCTAAAAAGCCCCTGAATTTTTGAAAATCTTATGTAGTTAGCGAAAAACCCTGAAATTCATCAAAATTTCCCGAATTTCTCATAAATTCGCTAAATTTATGGAAGTTCACTTGTTTCCAACAATGTTTGAAAAACTTTTTCAAAGTCTTCTGAACTTTTACAAAACTTGCTGAATGATGATGATGGTCCCACCGCTTATCCTTACGAAGGTTTGAGCTGGACGATTTATCTTTAAGATATTTAAGCATAACATTTAACCACATTAGCAATCAAAAACGAACTGGCTACAGTTACAGATATAAATTTCCTCAACACTTCACAGCAGC